CCTTGCCTCTGCCCACCTGTGCGTGCACACCCTCTCTCTCTCTTTCTCCCCCTCCTCTTTCTTTATTCTAATTAGGTGTATATGACAGCAGAATGCACTTTGATTCACTGTACACAATCACAGCACAACTCTTCATTTCTCTGATTGTACACAATGTAGTGTCACACCATATGTGAAGTTTCTTTCCCTTTTTTGTTTTAATTAATTAATATGATTTAATTAATAGCATAATAAACACCCTGCACTTACCCCCAAGCATGAGAGTGAGAGCATGATGACAGCAGCTTCCATCAACCCGTGACCTGTGAGTCCTCTCCAACCTTCCCCCTGCCTCACCCCAGCCCCAGGCTTAACCCATCCAGCATCTTGAGTTTATCATTTGCTTGCTCTAAAACTATAATCCTAGAAAACACAGTGCATGATTTTAGTTGATGTTAACTGTATTCCAAAGGTAGCACACTGCACTTGGTTTTTGCTGTTGGCTTTTTACTTTACATTCCTCTATGAAGTTGTGTACAAGTGTCATTGTTTGGCATTCATTTTGACTTTTGTCAATATAACACAACCAATTTGTCCATGCTCAATATACATTATCTCACTTGACCTTCATAACAACTCTATAAAATACAAAGGAAACACTCTCTGCTCCTGCTCAGAGTGGCTCAATTTATCCTTTCATGATTTCCATTTTAAGGATAAAACTGAAGGTTAGAAACTTCAGGTTACTTGCTTGAGTTTACATAATTCATGAACAGAGAAGCTTGAATTTAGCCCTAGAGCCTTCTTCTGAGAAGAGGGGTATGTGTTGGCTGCCAGGGTCTTCTCTACTGCTATTCAGCACAGCTACAGGGAAGCACCCTGCCCTCCCTCTGCTGACCTTTTCCATGGTCCCAAAATCATGTATTTATAGAAATATTTGAGTGACCTCAGCTTCCATCCAGCTAGTCTGGCCCCAGTTCAAGCCATCACTGGAGCTGTTCTGAAGCTGTCCTGAGCTCCATTACTCTTTAAGGACCTTGGTACCAGCCTGTATGGGCCCCACTTGATAGAAGAGAAGGCAGGAAGCAAAGAGACCCCTGGGTTGCTGGGGGAAGCTGGTGGAGCTGGGCTGTTTACAGCATTGCCCTTTGCTCAGGCCACTGTCTAGTTTAGCACCTAGACTCCAGAAGCTTCTGTGTGGTGTGGTTGGTGCTGCTGCACAGCTGACAGCTGAGCCAAAGCTTACAAGAGTAGGAATGCAGGTCTGAGCTCAGGCACCAGGCTACCTCCAAGGCTTGCTTCATCCCTTTCACCTCAAGACTGGCCCTCAAGAGTGTCAATTCTGGGGGAAAAATGGACACAGGGCTAGAGCTTAGTGACTAGTACCCGTATCACTGGCCTGAAACACTTGTTAGAATTGGGGAGGCAAGAACCAGTTTGGAGGAAAAAATACAAAAAGGGACATCTTCTCCTTGTGGAAACATATGTATCTACTCCACCAGCTTTTATGAGGCCCTGGAATGTTATTTGTTGGTGACCACCCAGCCATCCCACCGACAAATGGAACACTCTGAGGAAGATGTGTCTGACCTCCTAATGTGAAACATACAGAAGATGAGCTAAGAGGTGAGGTCCATTTCTGCACATTTATCTCTGGTTATTAGATACTTTTAGAGTAAACATCTGTTTGTCCACTTCAGTTCTCATATTGCAGGCCCCATTCAAGGGCTGTTTTGACCTTATCTCTGATTCAATGGGAACAAACCTTAAATTAGTGCCAAAAGGGGGACCTAGAATGGGAAGTCAGAGGGAACTTTGGTCATCTCAACAAAAAAGGGGGCCTGGGATCCTCAGCCAACTAATCTTAAAGTGAAAAACTGAAGAAAATGGGGGGTAAATAAGTCTGAAGGCATCTTGTGAAGGCTGGGGATGTATCTCAGTGGTAGAGCACCTGCCTGGCATACAAAAGGCCCTAGGTTTGGTCTCCAAAACTGCAAAAACAAAACAACAACAAAAACAAGTATCTTGTAGTGCCTGATCTAAAAGGACTCTTTCATTATAAGGTTTATCCTGGGGCAGTGCCACATCTTGACATCAAATCAAAGCATACAGTTTGACCATGCTTCCAAAGTTCCAGGAATATGGGCTGGACTACATTATTTGATTTCTCCTTTGGTTTTCAACTTTGATAGTTGTTTTGTAGGAGGAATATCTGTGTTTATTGCAGTACTTTCCATGTCACCTCACAGTATATTCTCAGGACATGTACATATTGTCCTAAGGGACAATAGGCCAGTTAATTGTACAAGAGGAAAACTTTGTTTTCTTAGGTTTCTAAAGCTACATGACATTATACAATAATTGGTGAAAACTGTCCTTTGTTCCTATTTCTTTCTCTAACCCACATCTCCAATTTTCCTGCTAGATATTTTTTACCTGAACATATCACAGCAAATTGAAACTCACCATGTAATCTCATAGCCAGTTCCAGTGGTGACATTCTGTGAGTCCTTATACTAATCATCTTCCCTTGACACATTCTTCCTGCTTCTGTTGTGGCCCTATAACTCCTCAGGTTGCACAGGCTCAAAAATGTCATAGCTCTGAGCTCCGCTTTACTCATTGCTATGGATTGAATGTGCCCCAAAGTTCAGGTCTCGAAACCTTAATCCCCAAAGCAGTGGTATTAAGAAGTGAGGCCTTTAAAAGGTGATTTGATCATGATAGCATTGACCTTATGGATGGATTAAGGCTGTTATCAAGGGAGTGAACTAGTGACAAAAGGGGGAATTCTGCATGTTTTCTATTTTTTCTCTTGAGCTAGCTTGCTTTTTCGTCATGTTATGACACAGCCCAAAAGCCTCTGCCAGATATTGGCCATGCTCTTGGATTCCAAGCCTTCAGAGCTGTGAAAACGATTTTATTTTCCCTGTAATATAAATATTCTATTATATCAGCAGAAAACTAAGACACTTACTCATCTTCCTATTCTTCCTCTCTCTCACAACCGCTCCAATTCCTGGTTCCAGTGACTTACCCAGGCATCTCTAATTTCTAATGGCTTTTTAAACTCATCCTTTGTGTCTTTAAAACTCAGCTACCTTGATCCTGTTCATTCTGCTTTCATAATGCTACTTTTATCCTACCCCTCCTTGCCGTTTCTGACATGTATTACTGTAGTGAGGTGCTCACAGCTGGGTTCATCTTTTACTTGGACCAGATATAGTGGAAGCTGGTCATGAGCACCTCATGTGAAGGACAGCAGTCAGAGAGCTGGTTATAATCATTTTGAAGTTGGTATGTTTCCCTCATTTCAGTTCCAGATATAGATATCATCTCATGAGCCAAGGGGACCTTAAAATTAAGGCATAATTCCTTCCCTTTAAATTAAGCCATGACTCCAGGCCTCCTTTCAGTTTGAAGACTTGGTAGATTCTTGCTGCTCCCAGCTCATCAGGGAAACGTGCAAAACTAATCTGGAACCACTCATTTGTTGTACTGGGATGTGGACCTAATTTTCCCCTTCTCTCATCCTGAAATGACCCCCCATTTACCAACTCATTTTTTTCTTCCTTCCATCCATCCATCCATCCATCCATCCATCCATCCATCCATCCATCATCCATCCATCCACCTATCCATCTAACACTTTCCTTGAGTACCAGATCCATAGACCTCCATGTGTCCATCCTCTGTGGATTTTTTTTTTCTGGCTATTCAGTTCCAGATAGAAGAATTCTCCATAGGCACCAATAGGCTATGTTTCCTTTTCCAGATAATGCTTGTGAATTTTAACAGAGGGCTTCATTAAGACAATACAAAGACTTCATGGAAAACTCAGAGTGGTTGAGATATTTTTTGGATAAAAATGAATCATTTCCAAAGAGACATTATGTAGGACTTGGGGGTCAGTAATCTCTAATTTTATTCCCTGAATGATATACTCTAATTTGTTTTTCAATGTCATAGAAAGGAATGTGCCATTTGATAGCTACTATGCCAAAAATATTAGTGAAAGTTGGTTGCACCGAATCTTTGCAGCTTTCCCTTATGAGATCTCAGGCTGGGAACTCTGACTGAACATTGCCAATGCTTAAAATTGGAGCTTGGAGTGCATATGTCAGGAGAAACCCTTGGGTTTTGATTACGCTTTGATTACTATTAGATGTTGAATTTGAAAAAAATAATAAAGTTCAAGAACATAAGTGCATGCTTGGTTGCAGAGTTGTTAGGAATCCAAGTACCCATACCTTCTCTAAGCCAATACTTCCTTTGCTTTGAATGGATCCTGGAGGAAGTACAAGGAGAATTCTGGGGTTCCTATTGCCATAAAACCCTTGGGACTGGGACTCCCTCACCATCCCTTTCAGGCTGAGTGAAATAATGGACCTTTTGGTGTATCTCAAAGCCTCACAGCCTTGCTTGGCAAAGGCAGATGGGTTGGTAAGGAAGATTGTGTGGTACATGAACACAAATGATATGCTCTTCATGATCAAATTATGTAAAAATATCTATGAATACTTTTTCCTTTTCACTTGGCAAGTACAGTTTCTGAGATCAACTTCTTTTTGTTACGTGACAAAATATTTCCCTCCATTGCTTCTCCCTTTCCCTTTCCTTTTATTCTATTACTTAAATCACAGAATATATTCTTCTATAGGTTTTGAAATGCCAGCACATTTGAATTGATACCTTCATTTCACTATCTTTCAATACAAGTGAGTCATATTGATATACAATAAAGAATTCATTTATTTGTTTTTCTCTTCCCCCCGAGTTTAGTAAAATAACTCAGATCCTGATTTTCTTTAACTTGCTAAAAATGTAATTCCCTAGAGATCAGAGACCTCCAGAGCTCTCACACCAGTGTCAGTGCAGGTCCAGTTCTTACATAGTTCTGCTTGTAGTCAGCTGCCTGCTGCAGGGTTGGCTCAATGTGTGGTTTTATCAGTGGCTTGGATTTCCCCCTACTATATGAAAGTTTAATTGGAACAAATAAAAAAAATGAATGCTTTAAAAAATTAAAAGATGATAGTCAGTTCTCCTGGAGCAAACTTCATGTGGGGGCTTACATCATTGACTGTGGTTGACTGCAGCTCTGTCAGGAACTTGGTGATATATCTTAGAAACATGTGGTAGCTTTGAATGGACAGGTCAATCAATCTTGTAGCCTCAGCAATGAATTTTTCATAGTAATCAGAAAGTTGGTCTGAAAAATCCTGTAGTTTAGATCTGAAATGGTGATGGTAATCAGAAATGATTTTCTTCATTGCAGTGGCCCAACTTTTAATTATTTCCTGAGCGGTGGTAGAAAGCTCTTCAATCTTTTCTTTCCCTTTTCCATCTGCATCAGTAAGGATGCTAACATATTCTTGGAAAGCTCTGTCCACAAATTGCTTAACTTGATTTGAGAGTTGAGAAGTAAATCCAGTAACACTGGACGTATATTTGGAATGGAAGTCCTTAAGGGCAATTACAAAGCTCCTGATCAAATCCATTACTTTTTCTTCAAGTTTATAATATTTCACCATCCAGCCAACTGTACTTGGATCAAAATATTCTTCACGAAGAGCCTTTATGTACTGATGAACCTGCTGTAAGTTTTGAGAGCTGTCCTGAAGTTGGTCTTGAATAAATTCATTTAACCTACTGAGGATAAAGTCTAGACTTTCTTTCAGATTTTGAAAAACATATAGAACATAATCTTTGAAATTGTCTTTCTCACGTAGGATCTCATTAACAAGATCAGTAAAATTCACCTCTTTTAAGATTTCAATGTCTTTTTCTATCTCTTCAAAAACAAATGATTGTAAAACGTTGCAAAGGACACTTAGTGTCTCTGTAGTGTTGATAGATAAGTAGTCAATTAATGTTACTTGAATTTCTCCTGATAAAGATTTCAACTGTTCCCTCAAGTCCGGAATTGCATCTTTTAGTTTAGAGCTTGTTGAATGAAAAGGAAGTTTAATCTGTAGGTCTTTGATTAATTCAGTTCTCTCCACTAGGTCTTGGACATACGAAAGCAGTTTATCTAACCCATTTTGGATATTTGAACATACTTGGGATAGTATCTTCCCTACCTCCTTCATGACCATACTGTTGAGTTCATCAATAGTGGACATCTCAGCTTTCCCTGGGAGATGGAATCTGGAGAACTTCAGGATATCAATGAATGAGTCAATCAGATGCTTAATTGCCCTATGGTACCCCTTGATGATTTGTATTAAGCTGTCAAATGCCTTCTCCTTGATTGTCTGGAAACTGGCCTGGCTCTCCTGAGCCAACAGTTCCTGGTACAGATTCTGGGTCTTGTCCTTCCACTCCTGGTAAGTTCTTGTGGTGCTGCTGACTGCTCTCTGGAAACCCATGTCCATCTCATCAATTTGCCTCATGGCCCCTTGATAGGCTTGCTCAGCACTGTTCTGTAGACTTCTCCTCAGCTTTGCAGAAGCATCTGTCAGGCTGAGTCCTGTGTACTCCTGGTGGTACTTGTTGACATAGTCATAAAAGGTCTCTGTGGCCTTGGGCACACTGTCTTTTAGAGAGCTTAGCAATATGGATGCTGCCTCTTCATCCCAATTAAATTTGATCTGAATTTCCTCATCAGATTTCTGCCCCCACTCAGTTATGAATATGATGAGTTTTTTCTCTGCAGAGGACTAAAACAAGAAAGGGGGGACATGTTTTCAATTACTCTGATTACATAATATATTACACTAAAACTTCATTAGCAGTTAAAAGTAAAGATCAGAGGATCCTTCACATTCTGAAGGGGATTTATCTTTCACATGTCAGTTTGTATGTTTGTTTTATGGTTAAAAAAACCCACTGTTAATTTCTCATTACCATATGCCTCAGAAAGGATAAAAACCATGCTTGGCATTTATACAGGAACACTTAACATTAAGGCCTTCCTAGGACTGAAAAATGGGGATAGGAGAGGAAGGATAGGGAAGAAGAATAGGGAGTAAGAGGAGGCAGAGGAAGAAGGGAAGAGGCAGAGAAAGGCACATTCAGGGAAAGAAGTAGCAAAAAAGGAAAATGTCCAGAGCTCAACCAGCAGAGAGCCAGAGTCCCCATCTCCATGTTCATGCTCCTAACCTATGACAAACCTTGGTGATAGAATCAGGTTAGGTCTCCCCCTCTGGTAATGACATATTTGATTTGGCCCTAGTAGAGCTTATAAAAGACTGAGTCCTTGAGTCTCATCAAACTGTTCTGTTAAGGGAAAGAATTTTAAGCTTCAAGAAACCTCCCGAAACCATGATTTAGGTGATGAGAGGGCTTTGGCTGTGGCTCAGGGTTACAGTGCTTGCTTAGCATGTGCAAGGCCTGGGGTTCAATCCCCAGCACTGAAAAAATATATAAAAATAAAAAAATAAATCCAATGATGAAATATTTGGAAGTAGGGCAGATGGTGGGGTTGGACTAGGAACGTGGCTCAGTGGTGAAGTGCTTGCATAGAATGTTTAAGACCCTAGGTTAGATCCTCAAGACCACCAAAAAACAAAGTGTATTTGGATGATTAGGCATGACCCTTATCTTTCTAGATTTTCCCAGAAGTAATAAAATAATAATAGTGCTAATATGATGCCATGTGCATGACTAATAATTAATTTCAATGAAGGATTCATTGTAAGACTTTCTGAAGAATAATTCCTTAGTGAGTATCTTTCATCTAATTTGAGAACTTTCTGAAAGAATTGTCTTAACTTCATTGAAAATTTCTAGAGACATGATCTACCCCAACTGAATCAGGAGGACATGCACAATTTAAACAGATCAATTTCAAGCAATGAAATAGAAGACACCATTAAAAGCCAACCAACCAAGAAAAGCCCAGGACCAGATGGATTCTCAGCCAAGTTCTATAAGATATTCAAAGAAGAATTAATACCAATACTCCTCAAAGTATTTCATGAAATAGAAAAGGAGGGAACACTTCCAAACTCATTCTATGGGGCTAGTATCACACTGAGATCAAAAGCAGACAAAGACATATCAAGGAAAGAAAATTTAAGACCAATATCCCTGATGAACTACATGCAAAAATTGTCAATAAAATTCTGGAAAATTAAAACATACAAAAAATATTAAAAAGATAGTGTGCCATAATCAAGTGGGGTTCATCCTAAGGATACAAGGTTGGTTCAACATATGGAAATCAATGAATGTAATTCATCACATTAATAGACTTAAATACAAGCATCATATGATCATCTCAATAGATGCAGGAAAAGCATTTGACAAAATACAGCACCTCTTTATGTTCAAAACACTAGAAAAACTAGGGATATTAGAAACATATCTCAATATTGTAAAAGCTACCTTTGCTAAGCCAAAGGCCAACATCATTATAAATGGAGAAAAACTAAAAACACTCCCTCTAAAAACCGGAACAAGACAGGGATGCCCTCTTTCACCACTTCTATTCAACATAGTCCTTGAAACTCTAGCTAGAGCAGTCAGACAAAATAAATTAAAAGAATATGAATTGGAAAAGAAGAACTCAAACTATTAATATTTGCTAATGACATGATTCTATATTTAGAAGATCCAAAAAATTTCATCAGAAAACTTTTAGAACTAATAAATGAATTCAGCAAAGTAGCAGGATATAAAATCAATACTCATAAATCAAATGCATTTCTATACATAAGTGATGAATCCATTGCAAGAGAAATTAGGAAAACTAACCCATTCACACACACACACACACAAAAAAAAAAAAAAAACACAAAAAAACCAAAAAACTATCCCCTCAAAAAAAAAAATAAAGTACTTGGGAATCAATTTAACAAAAGAGGTGAAAGACCTATACAATGAAAACTATAGAACACTAAAGAAAGAGATTGAAGAAGACCTTAGAAGATGGAAAGATCTCTCTCCCATGTTCTTGGATAGGCAGAATTAATATTGTCAAAATGGACATACTACCATAAGTGTTATACATATTTAATGCAATTCCTATTACAATACCAATAACATTCTTCATAGAACTAGAAAAAGCAATCATGAAATTCATTTGGAAAAATAAGAGACCCAGAATAGTCAAAGCAATCCTTAGCAAGAAGAGTGAAGCAGGAGGCATCAAAATACCAGATGGTTAACTATACTACAGAGCCACAGTAAAAAAAAAAAAATGGCATGGTATTAGAACTAAAGTAGACATGTAGATCAATGGTACAAAATAGAAGACAGAGACAAACCCACAAAATATGGTCATCTCACATTATATAAAGGAGCCAAAAACATACATTGGAGAAAAGATAGCCTATTCAACAAATGGTCTCAGAAAACTGGAAATTCATACGTAACAAAATGAAGTTAAAAGTTATCTCTCACTCTGCATAAAACTCAACTCAAAGTGGATCAAAGACTTAGGCACTAGAACAGAGACCCTGAGCCTAATAGAAGAAAAAGTAGGCCCAAATCTTCATCATGTCAGCTTAGGACCTGACTTCCTTAACAAGAAGTAAAATTAAGAATCAATAAATGGGATGGATTCAAACTAAAAAGCTTCTTCTCAGCAAAGGAAACAATAACGGGAAGATAGAGCCTACAGAATGGGGGAAAATATTTACCACATGTACCTCAGATTGAGCATTAATTCCAGGATATATAACCCAAAAAACTTAACACAAGAAAATCAAATAACATCCTCAATAAATGGGATAAGGAAATGAACAAACTCTTTACAAGCATATGAAAAAATGTTCATCATCTCTAGCAATTAGAGAAATGCAAATCAAAGCAAAGATTTCATCCCCAATCATAGTGGCAATTATCAAGAATACAAGCGATAATAAGTGTTGATGAGGACGTGGGGGAAAAGGTACATTTATACATTGCTGATGGGACTGCAAATTGATGCAACCACTATGGAAAGCAGTTTGGAGATTTCTCAGAAAACCTGGAATGGAACCATCATTTGACCCAGCTATCCCACTCCTCAGTTTGTACCCAAAGGACTTAAAATCAGCATACTACAGTGATACAGCCACATCAGCTGTTTATTGCAGCTCAATTCACAATAGATAAACTATGAAACCAAACTAGATGCCCTTCAATAGATGAATGGATAAAGAAATTGTGGTACATACACACAATGGAATATTACCCAGCCTTAAAGAAGAATGAAATTATGACATTTATGGGTAAATGGATGAAACTAGAGAATATAATGCTAAGTGAAATAAGCTAATTCCCCAAAACCAAAGGCCCAATGTCTTCTCTGATAAGGGGATGGATGCTAATCTACAGTGGAGTCGGGGTAGGGAAAATGAAGGAAATTTGGATTATACAGAGGGAATTGAGGAGAGGGGTGGGATGATGGGGATGGGCAGGACAGTAGAATGAGTCAGACGTTATTACCTTATGTACATGTATGATTACACTACTGGTGTGACTCAGCACAATGTACATCCAGAAGAATGAAAAGTTATGCCTCATTTGTGTAGAATGTGTCAAAATGTATTCTACTGACATATATAACTAATTAGAATAAATTCATAAAAAAAGAATTGTCTTAAATCATCTGTCCCAATTCTCTCCCTGCTCTTGGGCTTTGGCAACCCATTGGTTAGGACTCACCTGAGGGTAGAAGTAGTGGTTCTTTATTATGCCATGGTTTCCTTTTTCTCCCAGGTTCAGGCCCACAGCATCTATGGCTGGGTAGGCTGCCCAGAAGGTCTGGATTTGCTTATCTCTTTGATAGCGCAGGTAGAGGTCAGTGAACACCGGACTGGTGATGTCCAGGGCAGCCTGTATTTCCGAGTCCCTGAAAGCAGAAATGCAGCTGGGTCACAATATAATGGGCACAAAGAGGGCACACATCACAATGAGCTTTGAAAAGGAATGAAGTTTCAATAAAAGTTTCATACTGCAGTCCTTTGTATTTGCCCTCTTCTTTATACAGCACACTGAAGTCACGATGTACAAATGTTGTGTTGCTCTTACAGATGAAACTGTAGTCTTCAAATTTATATGTTTCCACCACTGTAGGGGAGAGAGTTTACATTTTGTGGGGCAAATAATTATGGAATACAGAGATATTTTCATTGGGAAACTTGGAGCATTCTATTTTAACCAAACACCTAACTTACATGTTTTTAATATGCAATGTCTAGTTCATAGTGTTTTGAAATAATTTTTTTTTTGTTTGGTGCTGGGGATCAAACCCAGGGCATCCACACATGCTAGGTATGTGCTCTATCACTGAACTATACACTCTGCTCTATAATCTAAGTAAATAGTGAGAAGACAATGTAAGTCCTAAAATCATTACAGAAAAATCTACTTCTTTGAACCTATCCTTTTTGAATGTCAGTTATTTTCTACAGTTTTTTTTAATGTATGGGGTATATATGTATCTCCTCTTTTAATTTTACTGAGAGTAATAGTAACTCTGGTCATAACTAAATATATAATTACTCACAACTTTCATTTAGAACATAGTATCTAGGAAAGGAGTCAGGTCATTTTCTTACCTTTTAGGTCATATTCCAGGAACTTTAAGGTTGAACTGCATGTGGAATCCAGGAATGTTTCAATATGATCTGCTTTGTTTTTCAAACCAGCACTCCAAGTGGCATTATATGGGGGAGAGGCCACCTGAAACCGTGCAGTCAGTTCTCCAAAAATAGGAATCCAAATTCCAGCAGGTATAGAGAATTTAATGGAAGGAATCTGAATAGTCTGCTCAGGCATGATGATGGTAGGCAATTCAAAGCCTCCAATCTTGTTGGCCACCTCATTTAGGTCCAAGACAGCACTGCCAATGGAAATGCTTTTTGGAAGGGTGAACGGGGTTACAATCAACTGAGCTTCAGGCACAGTTATCTCAAAAAGGGGAAATGAGGAGTTTTCCGATTCAGAATATTTTGTTAAAACATCAACTTCAGGGAATTTTATTTTGGGTAATGTTGGTAGGTTGAGTGCAAATGGTGACATTCTTGACTTTTTATAGATTTTCATTTCACTGAAGTCAACTTTGTAGGATGGAACCTGAAGATCTGTGAATGGGACTCGAAATGTAGGTGTGACAAAAACTGAATTTAGATCATTTAGTTTCAACCCAGATATAATGAATTTATCAGCCAATTCTTGCACGGGGACAGAGAGAAGATAGCCATTGGGATTTTTGGTGTACACAAGAGCAGTTGAAACATGAAGATACTGCCTCCTGTTGGTGCTGGTGGTTACCTCCAGCTTTAGGAGGTCCCATAAGCTCTTGTCATACACTGGTAGGACGATATGTTCAAGGTTTGACCCTCCTAAGGATCCTGCAATGTCGAGGCGTGCCTCTTCTTGGGTATTAGAAAGCTGTATGTTGTTCTGGAGAGACCCAGAATAAATCTGGATCTCACTTTTCCAGCTGACCTTCTGGTTCTTAGTGTTTGCATTCAGAGTCACTTCCTGGTCAATGTAAGGTATGTCCAGGAGGGAACTGGGCTGACTGGCATGAACCTGAACAAGGGCAGACATTGTCCATGGGGAGAGTTCCAAGGTGGCTTTGCTTGCATGTTCTCCTTGTGTGAAAAAAAGGCCCTGCAGCTGTAAGTAATTTTTTGTATTGTGTTCCCAGATGGCATATATGCGTCGGAGATTGGCTTCTCCAGCAAAATTTTCTTTTACTTCAAGGTTCCAGATACTATCGACCTTGGAAGCCCCTTGCAGCTTCACTGATGACCGAGTGCCCTTGGAATTCAGGTACATACTGGCCTCGCTGGCAATAGTTCCCAAATATTCCCGTGAGAGGACTGAACCCTTGACATCTCCTTTAGTAGATGACTCAATGGAAAAGTAGGAGGTGAGGCTTTCTAAGCTGAGCTTGTGGTCAACTGCTCCTTTAGCAGTATAGTACAGCTTCGGATAATTAAAATCATATTTTAATTCAGTGGATGAAGAGACAGTAGGTTTTGACTTGGTATTTCCATTAAGTTCTTGCTTGAAATTCAATCTCAAAACTGGAACGTGGATTTTGGCAGTTGTTGTCACTGATGCTTCCAAGTTTTTCTCGATTAAGCTAATAGTGCTATCATGACTGCCTTCCACAAATTTGTTGCTGAGAGACAGAGCTGTGGCTAGCTTCAGCCCTCTTTTCCTTCTCAAACTTGAAGTGCCCTCTAATTTGTACTGCAGTGCATCAATGACAAATGAAGAGGAAGAAAGGAAATGAGCCACAATATCTGATTGATTATAAAGTCCAATATTGGTATTCAGTGTGATGACACTTGATTTAAAGGAAAAATCATAAGTAATATTGCCCAGGGCTGGAATAAAAATATTGTTTATGGTACTCAGTTCCTTGAAATCTGGAAGAGGGACCTTGAGTAGATTCCTAGGGGCATGAAGGACTGGCAACTCAATGGATGGGAGGACGAATGTGTGTGATGGCACATAGAAGCCAGACCCTGGGATGGTGACATTGGGGGTGCTGATCACTTTGGGGATCACATGACTGGAGGCTGACATCTCTACTGTGAATGGAGATACTTCCATGTTGATGACTGGGAGAGTGTATCTGGGAGTTTGAAAGGTCCTGGGGAGCTTGTTGAGAGATCTTTCAACTTCATACTCATCAAACTTACTTTTTGCTTCATTGTAGGATGTAGTGAGAAAATCTAAGGCGTCATCTCTGACTTTCTCAAAATGTCTGTCAAAGGAATTGATATTCTGATTGATAAACTCAAAAAACACACCCAAAGGAATTGCAATGGAATGCCTGTCTTTGTTTTTTTTGTACCGAGCTTTTACACTTAAATCAAATGATTGCTTTGTTGTTTTCAAGAATTCCTTTAAGCCGGTTTCTTCCCATATGGAGAAATCTTTCAGTGAGGGTGTTGTGAGTGTTGTATAAGGTAGATTTATTTCAGGAATTGTCAAAGGAATGCTCAAGAAATCCAGGTTGGCATCTCCATTGATCTGTACATGGGCTTCCATGCTGTGCCCATTGTTCACGGCAGAGAAATTTTGATGGTATTTATACTGATTGAACCTAGCACTTGCTTGCCAACTTGCTTGCTGGGCATGAGGACTCAGGAACATTGCATAGTTGTTGAGGAAGTCTATCTTCCCTACCAATTTTAGTGGAAAACTAACTTTCAGATTTCCTTCATTTTTTGTGGATGCAGTAATTTCAGATGGCTGTGCTGAAAAGAAAAGGGAATTTTTCAAAGTTCCAATAACTTTTCCATTTAAATGAGCATTGTGGATGCCAGTTATCTCTGCCTTCCCTTCTTTGAGCAGTGCTATGCCATTAGCAGTTAGAATACTGTGGCCCACATGCTGGGATTCAACTTCAGACTTAATTTCAAACTTAGAAGAGTCAAGGAAGCCAGATTCATAAGCGATCTTTTGGTTTACTCTTAGGTGTTTGCTGCTGATGTTATTGGACAATCCAAAGGAAGTGATGGGTCCTTCCACAGTGAAGCTGATCTGTGATTCATGTATTCCCTCATCTGAGAAGTTGAGACAGGCCAGTTTCCATGACCCTATTCCAGAAGAAGTCCATGTTAAGTGTCCAGCTTCCAGCAGTGTCTTGATATCATTGTTCAGGTCAACCTTACTGGATAAGTCCAGTTTGGGGATGTTCAATTTGTGGAAGTATTTTGTGTGGCTTTCCAGTTTGAGCTGGTTATTTATCTTGACAATCACACCATTATTAAACTCCAGTGTATTTTTTTCTGTGTGTAAACTTGCCATTGTATCTGATTTTCCTTCAGTGGCATTTCCAGAAAATAGTATTTCACTTTCATGCTTTGTTCTCATGTACTTGCTGGAAAATATCACAGATTCCTTCAGAACCAGTGGATTAATCTTAGGGTCTGAGAGTTGTGCATTTGCTTGGAAATCGAAATTGAGAACTTCTAATTTGGACTCTCCTTTGGCAGTGATGGAAGCTGCAATCTCTGCTTTGTGCTCTGAACTAGTTACATTCTGGATGTTAGCATTTGCATCTAATGTGAAAAGGGGAGATTGGACTTTCAAAATGCTATTCAACTTGCCAAAAGTAGGTATTCTGATTGTGTGTGAGATGTGGGGAAGCTGGAAGTCTGGTATTTGAAGGTCAGGAACTTGAAAATCTTTCAGGTTGAGATTTGGGATCATGACTTCTGGAATTGTAATTTTTGGCAAATGGAAGTCTGGCAGTGTGAGTAAAGCAAGGGGGGTGTCTCCCATCTTCAAATCCCTCAGATACACTTCCGGAAGTGGCCACTGCAGCTCACTGATCAGCATTTGGTCAATGGTTCTGATGATCTTTGCTTTGATTTCTACCAAGTCGATTGTAAAGGAAGGAATGTGGAAGGTGTTGAGGATAGTGAATTCTGGAGTGGAAAACCTGGATGGGATTTTTATATCTTTCAACTCTTTGAAGTTTATCTGAACTGATGGAATCCTCAGATCTGTCAGAGGAACTATGAAGTCAGGAGTCTGGAAGGTAGCTTCCTGGAGAGCATGGAGACTGACCTCAAAGGCAGGCATAGTCCCAAAGATGGTCTGGATTTTAGGAACAGTGAACCCTCGTTCCACCAAGGATTTCACCTTTTCAGCCCAGTCTTGGATAGAGTATTGCTCTGCAAAGTCAGTAAAGTTCTTAGCAGCAAGAATCCACCAGTCAGTAATGTAGGTGACAAGTGTATTATAAACCTGGCCTACTAGAGACAGGTATCGCTCAAGTTCCCGCTGAAGGTCCATTTGATAGATCCGGTCTCGTACGTCTTCTAGAGTTTCTTGGAATCTGGCTTTCATGTGAACCAAAGATGCAGAATTTAAAGCATCCTGTAACCAATCAATGAATAAAGTTATTTTGGTGTCTTTTAGCTTTTCCCAATAGATAGCGACCATGGCTTTGATGTCCTCTACAAACAGTTTTAGTGCTTCAGCTTTCTGTGGCAGTTCTAGAGCCTGAATTTCACCATTGATTCTCTGAGTCATCTCATGTATTTTGTTATTGGTTTCATTCACAAACTGGTTGTAATCGAACGATTTTAATTTCTTTACCAACATGTCCAGCAATCTGTTTACTTCTTCAATGAATTTTTTAAAAGACAATGCTTTAAGCTGCTTGACTGCATCATCAATAAACCCAACCAATCTCTCATAATATTCTTTTATCTCAACTTGCTGTAAAACATTGCTTAGTTTTTGAACAGTCTCCTTCAACTTATACTGGTGGGCCAACTGTACTGATTTATCCATTAAAACCTGGATTTGTTGGTCTACTTCATATTTCCTAATTAACTCATGGACTATGGCTCTAAAAGCATTGATTTTCTCAGTTACTTCAAATTCTTCAATAAGATTTGTAACAAAGTATTTGACATGTTCAATAATGTCCTTTATTCTTTGAAATGAAATTGTAGTTCTCAATTGATCTAAAAGGACTCTGACATCAATATCCTTAACCCGTTGTTTTAACACTGTGGCAACGTCCTGGATGTCTGTATTCTGAATATGCATGTTGAGCTGCTGCAGTTTTTCTTGTATCTGGATTCTGACTTGATACTTAGTATCCACATTCTGGATCCAGGAGGCAACACTACTTCCAGTTTTGTCAAAATCAATATTTTCAATAAATTCGTACAGATCATTGATTGTCTTTACTAAATGTACACAGATATGATAATGTTCATTAAGAATCTTCCATTTTTCAATGATTTGATCAATAATCTTAGCAATAGCAGTTTTAAAATCATGTAGATCATAATTATCTTTAATATACTGATCAAATTGTATCACATATGTCTGAAGTTGAGAGAGTTTTTCATTAAAGTTGATTTTGGCATTATCCAATGCAATTTGTAGATCATTTTCTGTAATTCTATAATTTTCTGTGAAAGTGTTCAGTTTCTCCTTGGCAATGGAAACTTGTCTCTCCCAATTAAGTGCATTCAGATAGTCATTAACTTGCTGTGGGAGTCTGTTGAGGGTTGCTCTGTATTTCCTCATAAATTGATCAATATTGATGCGTTTCAATTCTTTCTGAATGGTTTCCAGAGCAGTTATAATTACTATTCGATTCCTCTCCAGATATTCTGGCAGAGTTTCAAAGAAGGGGAGGCTGATGGTGTGAACGTCTTGGTTCTTATCGTACTTTACAAAAGCAACAATTGTGAATTCTTGGGGCTTGTCAATAGCATCTTTCATCTCTAAAGCATCAATGACATTGACGGGCTCTCTGAGTAAAAATGGCACTTTAATCGGGGAGTCTAGCACAGTAAGGTCAGCCAGGGCTCGCCCACTAAGCTCCACACCAATTTTGTCTTTAGTGTTGTAAGCTTCAAAGTCCTGGCTGTACTCATTGTTGTTCAATTGAGTCTTGAGTTTCCAGGTGCTTGTCTGCTCGGCTGGAGTGAGCAGGACACTGACTTTGTGATCAAGAGCTGTACTGATGCTTTTGCTGGACATGAGATGACTTGTGGACCCTTTGTAATCATGAGAGAAAGTGAGGGCCAGTGGTTCTGCTTTCAACAGGAATTTGCTATAGAGTTGTCCAGTGTGCTCTCCCCAGAGAGCCAGTTTTCCATTGCCATTTGTATGTGCATCAATGGCCATGGTGAATGGGGCCATTGCAGAACGGAAAACGTTGCTGAAATGCAGAGAGTCTGAATTATAGTTTGTACTGATGTCAATGGATGACGCCAGCCCAGCAATATCAGTGTTGAGCCGATGGCTAAACTCCACACCCTGAACCCTAGCTACAGTGTCTGCTTTATAACTTGCTGATAAGTCAGCATAAGAAATGGTGTAGATATGTTTTATTTCATCATTTTGGTAGGCTCCTTTGAGGTTTCCAGCCATGTTCAGCTTCAAGGGTTCCAGCCGTAATTTCCCATTGCTGGTCAGATCCAGAGCACTGTATCTCAGGTCATTGTTTAAAGTAGTTACAAGAGAAAAGGGCTGTAATTGTAAGTTAAAATTCTGCTTGTAAAACTTGTCAGTGCTATAAATGTTGTCAAGTTTGGATGAGAGGTCCAGTGATAAGCCTGCGATATTCAAACTGTTAGAGTGGTCCAGTTTCATTTCAGCATATGAGCCCATCATGTCATTTGAAAGCTTCAGTCCTTCCTGGCTGATTTTGAAGTTGAAAATGTTTTTACTGTCGACACCCAGAATCATGGCCTGATAAGTACTTCCCAGTGATACCTCTGTGAGGGCAGCTTTTCCATCCAGGCTGAATTTTGCGTTGTGCTCCCTGAAGCGACCATTTGCTGTTAATTTCATGGATGCCCCAGAGAGGTCAAGCTCTGCATTCAGCTCATTCTCCAGCAACAAGGGACTATACTTCAAGCTGGTGGTTGCACTTGTAGATAATCCATCTCGGGCAATCCTTAGTGTTGCCTTATGAGCACCAGTATTAATTTTGTCACTGCCCAAGATGTCAGCATTTAATTCAATTCCATGGGAATTCAGTGACCCAGACAGAAGGGTGAAGAACCTCAGTGACTTGTAGTCAGCCTGATACTCAGAACGTAGCAATGCATTTTGCTTAGAGAAGGTCAAATCCACCTTGTTAAAAGTAGAAAAGTCTTCATATTTCCCATTGCTGTCAGATTTCACAGTGAGCTCATAATTCTCATATTTCAGGGAAGCAGTATTTTTAAAGATGCCATCTTGCAAATCAGAGGTGGAGGTGAGGGAGAGGGTTCCATCTTTGTACCTTCCAGTTATCTGGTTGGTGCCTTGGAGGTAGGAAGAGTTAAACCTCAGGTTGGATTCTCCACTGAGCTGGCCAGTGGTAGAATCCCTCTGACAAGACAGGTCATAAATGCCATTAGCATAGAATGAAGAAGCTCTGAATTGCCCATCAATCTTGACATCTTTGACATACAGATGTTGTTTCTTTTTTGAGTCAAAATGGATTGAAGCAGACATCTGTGGTCCCCAGGCACTAGATGCATCAAATGTTAGAAAACCTTTTGAGGCTGGGTTGTTTCCAATTTTTTCTACATGACTGAACTTGATTTTTGAATCCAGAAATTTGTGGCGTAGAGACCCATCACAAGCTAATGTGAGCATATTCCTTTGGTCATAAGCTGTTTCTCCAGATCCTAATGTTAAAAATTAAAGACATTGGTTAAATTAAGAAAAAAATGTCCAGAACAATCATTGTTGAAAATCTTTCAATTAAAAAGTCCCATTTATCTGGGTCAGTTGTGTAGTAGTCTCCTCATCTATAATGCAAACATAAAATTTGAAAGCATAATATATTTCTCTAGGAAGTTTTCCCTGACTGCTGAAGACCTTTTTGGGCTCCCTTATTGAGAGTTTCACTGTATCTTATACTAGTATATTCTGTGGCACTCAAGCTGAATTATGATTAATAAAGTAAACTTGATGTACCTTATACACCCTACCATAGCACTTCTCACACTGAGTTATAATTGCTGGTTTATGTACTCCTTTCCTTTTTCTTACCTAGGAGTATATCAAATACATATTACATGTTTAATAAATATTCCTATGAGTTGAGTGGATGAAAAGACTTCTGAGTAGCAAGGACAATAAGAAAGTCCATGTCCTTTCCTCCCTAGAGGGGGTTCTCCCACCAGAGACTGCAATGAGTTAGCCCTGTGAACCCTTCACCTGAGCATGGCTCACCTTGGATGCTATAGGAAAACATGTCAATCACAGAGTCAGCCTTCATGTGGTATCGAGCCTGGAGGCTGTAGTGGTCTCTGCTGGTGTTGCCACCAGTATAGGAGGCAGACCAGTTGTACAAGTTGCTGTAGATATTTGTGGAGAGGTCCAGAACACCCAAAAGAGGCACTCGCAGTTGATACAACTTGGGAATGGTAAAAGTCGGGACTTGGAATTCTTGAGATGGCAGCTGGAATCCCACAGACTTAAAGTTGAGGGCTGGTGTCCTAATGGTCTCTAGCATCTTCAGATCTTTGGAAGACTTGCCACCAAAAGGCAAAGGAATCTCAATTTTCACACTGTTCTTGTTCAAGGTATATTTGACCCGGCCATCACTGAAATGAATAACAATGTCCCCACAGTCAGTTATCAAGAACTCAGCTCTCTGCCATCTGATCTTCCAAGCAATACTGCATCTACTCCATTTCTAAACTATTTTTTATTGCACTGCTTCCCATGCCTGGATACCTTTGCTTTTTCCTCTACCTGCCCAAAAAACTCTTTCTATGCCCTTCTAAGAGCCATCCCTTAGCATTTCCATTCCACCCAAGTCATAACTAATTTCTCTCATTCTTAAAGTGATAGAGTCTCTTACACCTATCTCAAAGAGCATGTCCTAGTTCTGCTTAGATAATAAGTTATCTGTTCATTTTTTGATGTCTGTACAGTGTCTTCCCTGGGAGGAAGAACTCTACCTTATCTAGTGTCTATCTTCTTACTGTACCTAGTCTAGTATTTTGCATGTAGTGGACCCTTGGTACATATTTGCTAAACTAAATTGAGGTAACTTGATATGTGGAATGTACACAGGAATAAAAGGCAATAAATTTGGGTGAGATCTTCAATTTCCACTGAATGGTAATGTTATCTTAGTGAATTAGTGCCTCTGAGTCTCTGTGATGTTTTCTGCATAGTGGGGATAACAGTATTCTTTCTATTGAACTCACAGAGATGGCCTTGGTTATCAAATGAGAAAAAAATACCTAAAAGCACTTTGCAATCTTTTCAATGTCATACCCATGCAATGTACTAACAGGATAACTTAAAAAAAAATAAAGGGGGAGAGAGGGGTTTAGCTATTATGTGCAAATAAATTGTTCATTTTATTGCTGCAAAAAGATGCCTGCTTTCAGCAGGAGGATGACCAATGACCAGTCAGGCCCTGTCCAATTCGTAGGTCCTGAAATACCAGCAGAGAAGGAGGGTTCCTGAGTCCTCTGTGCTGCCACCCTTTTCCATCTCCTACAGTCTTTTTCCGTATGGGTGCTTTGGCAGACTTCTGCCCTTTTACAATAATTTGGCCTATTAAACTGCTCCTCTGCCACTGACCATGGGAGGGTCCACATGACATAGGCCACTTATTTTTTTTTTTAACGGAGTAAAGTACAGAGATCAGTCACTCTGATTTCTTATTTTCATGAAATAAGACAAGCAGAGCATTTCATATATTTTTTGTAAATACAGAAACGGACTGAGCAGTTTGGAATCTGACTTTTTGGGTAAGGGTTAAGTTGTATTGCTAAACTGAATCTCTCTCCAAATGCTGCCTTTATTCAATGCTCAATGGTTGTTCTGACCCTCCATAGTTAAACAGCAAGCCCATAGTCAATAATTCCTCCAGCCTCTCTTGAACTCTTCACAGTCAAACAAGTGTGAATATACTCTGGTCTGGAATAAGGTGTTTACTTGTGATGGAAGAAAGCTGAATACCTTTCAAATTCAGATTGTAGTAAATAAAACATCTTAGGAGGAAAGTACCAGAATTACTCAATTGTCTTTTGGGTTCATTTTGGGTTGACCGTCACATTCAGACCTCATGTTTAATAATGCAAAAGTGTCACAGTATTTATGCTATAGTTATTCATCTCCTTAAAAATGCTTATATTATTTCCCTTAAAATTAAATAAAAACAGTAACAATCATACTATGTCAAATTTTCCATGTGCTTTGCATGGTTTGAGAAACTTCTTTAGTTTCTTCTTTTACCTTTTTAAGAAGAGGTTTTCTGGGACTTGGAAGGTTGGAAATCTCATTTTCTGGAAGCTCAACTCTGTCAAGCCACTGAGGTGATCCTGCAAAGTCTGGGCAAACGGAAGACTCTCGGATGCCTTCTGAAGCCAGCTGTTTGTTGCCTACAAAATGATAGAAGATTTTTAGAGCAAGAAATGGGACTGGGTGATCCTCAAAGTGAAATTAACATTACGTGATAATTCAGATTTGACAGGTCAGTTATCAAGCAGAACAATGAAGTAAAAGTTAAAAATAAGTTATAGTGATGGGCATGGTGGTGCATGTAATCCAAGTGGCTCAGGAGACTGAGGCAGGCAGATCATGAGTTCAAAGTCAGCCTCAGCAACTTAGCAAGGCCCTAAGAAACTTAGCAAGACCCTGTCTCAAAATAAAAAAAAATAAAAAAAGGCTGAGGATGTGGCTCAGTGGTTAAGTACCTCTGAGGTCAATCTCTGGTATAATAATAATAATATTTATTATTATTAATAATAAATAAACAAATAAATAAAATAATAGTAATTAATAATAATATATAATAATAATTATTATTATTAATTACAGAAAATTATGATTTTGGGCTGCCAGTCACTGATCTCTTCCCTTATTTTAAGAATATGTAACATAGACTCCTAGCCCATGTCTTGAAGTTTCTGTTCATATATGTAGACACAGCAAACTCTTTTGCTTATAGCATTCACTGGGTATTTATCATATTCAGCTTTGTGTAACTGGAGAACTAAGCATGCTTGATGTTTCTTTTCTCTCCAGAAATTCCTTAGGTGCAGGAAGCATGCCTTAAGCATCTTTGGATACCCTCATACACCTATCTTAGAGTTAAGGATGTGATTAGCACTTTTAACCATGAATCTATTTTGCTGATTGATTCATACTTACAACTCTTAATTTGGATCCCATCTGCCGGAAAGTCATGTCTGTTTGAGGAACTCTGTTATCTGGGAGACTACTGGCATGCAGCAGGAAGGCTCTATAAAAATCAGAGAGATCCACTGGGAAATTGGAGGCAACTTTTTTGGTATCCACATTGGTGCCTGTGTTCCATTCAAATTCAATCTTCTCCTCATCTAGAAAGGCACATATGAAATAGTTGTCAGTGGTACAACACAGGTCAGCCTGTGTCCATGGCACTTGGCAGTTACACTGAAGTACACAGTGCCCTTGGAAGTGCTTGTGGGAAGAAGAGGCACATACCATAGCGCCAGGCCAGTCTCTTGGAAACTGTTGAGCCATAAGCTGTAGCAGATGAGTCCATTTGGAGGAGCAGTTTGGTTGGGGACCAGCGGGTCAGGATCTCACTTCTGGCTTCTGCTTGTAAGCGGGGTATGGAAATGACACCTTTGATTTTGCTTTCTTCCTTAGTGTCATAACTATGGAAAAGAAAATCATTTGGCTTCAATGATTTTTCCATTCCAAGGAGATATGCAGAATTCAACAGTTAGGAATTACATTTTTTAGTGATAAAAGTAAGATACATTAATGGGTGAAAAACAAGGCCACAGACAGACCAAATGCATTAACTTCAAGGCTAATACTCAGCAAAAGTGCAGGACTTTGCAGGGAACAGATGAACTTTTTGAAAATTGTTTCAATCTGCTTTGCTGTTTACGAACTCTTGGCCTTGGCCAAAAGATTAAACTGCTCAGAGCTACCATTTCCTTATCTATAAAATAGGGAAATTCATACCTACCTTGCAGTTTAAGGTGAGGACTCAGAAAATTTTTTAGTGTACTGAGCACAGTATTTGATAAGTGGATAATAAGTGCAAGATAAATAATAGGAAGATCCAACTAAAAATGTGCAGAGGGTCAAGACACTTGAGGACGCTGTTTGCCAGATGATAGATGAGGGATGCATTTGTCTTAGTTTAAAGCTGGGGTAAGAAGGGAAAGAGCTACCAGGGCCTACAGCTCAGGTAGGATCTCCCATGCCTTCCTTACCTTATGTGGCCCATCAGAGCGACTTCAGTGATTTTCTTATTCTGAATGTCCAGGGTGAGTTTGTAAGACTTTTTGTCCTGAGCAGACTCATCACTAACTCTGAGGACTGTTCCAAGGTCAACATTAAGATCTGGAATTTGGATTTCACTGAATAAAGTTCTACTCTGCCGATTATATTTGAACATCATTGTAGCCTCTGTATGCTTCACACCTGAAAATGTACAAAATAATTAAGAGGGTGTGCTAAGAGAATCTACTTAGAGAAGGAAGGAAAGGATAAGGTAGAGAAACCCTGGGTACTCGATGTGCTTAAACAAGAACACAGTTGAAAATTTTACCTTACGTTTTTAACTCTGTGGTATTCATAATTCACTCAACTTGCAAGTATTTACTGATGGTGGATTATATTCTGGGCACTGCTCTTGGCATTGGGGAGTCTGCCCTTATAGAGTTTACCTTCTAGTAGGGCTGTACAGACAACAGGCCAGCCAATTACTTTCATCAGATGGTACTAAATGTGAAGAAAAGTAAAACTGGATATGAAGATGAAAGAAACGGATAAAAGAGAAGCTATTTAATATGTGGTGGTCAGAGAAGTTCTCTCTGCAAGATGGGTATGTGGGCAGAGACCACAATGAGTAGATTGTGGGGATGCACCATGCCAGTTCTGCAGGGAGCCTTCCAGGCAGAAGGTTGGATATGCAAAGGCTCTGAAGTAGGGATCGCTCAGCACATTCAGGGTTTGGAATATGGCCAGAATCTGACCACTTTTCATACCTCTTCTGCTACCACTCTCATTCAAAGCAACTACATCTCTTGCTTGAATTATCGTTGTAACCTACACATCAGTGTCCTTTCCTCTTTTGCAACCTTTTGCCAACATAAACATAAACCATGAAAAACCTTCAGTGGCTTCTTATTTTATTCACAGAAAAAGTCAAAGTTCTTACCATGTCTTACAAGTCTATCTCTCCTCTACCTCCCCTTATTTCTCTGATTTCATTTTCTATCACTTTCCTCCCGGATCTCTCTGCTTCAATCACGTTGGCTTTCTTTCCTTTTTTCAAACTTGGCAGCCCCATGCCAGCCTTGGAGTCCATGCAACTGCTGGCGCCTTAGCGTATAACACTCTTGGCACAGGGCTTACCTCCCTCACATCTCCTTTTGTGTTTACTTTACCAGTGAGACTTTCCCTTTTTGTTCCCAGAATCACTCCCTTCCCCAACTTTTCTCCTCCCCAACACTCCCAGCATTCCCTAGGCCCATCTATGTTCTGTTTTGGTCCCCACCATGGATTGACAGCTCAAATATTTAATTGTTTGGTTGTTTACTGTAACTTCCACAAAGATAGAGACTTCAATGTTCCCTGTTTGAGCCTCAGCTCTCAGAACAGGCCTGATACTTAGTTGGGCACTCAGTCAATATTTGTTAAATACGTTACATTACATATTTCTCCCTTTGAGTCCTGAACTTGAGACTGAGGGTAGAGAGGCAGCATCCTCTTTTTGTATACTCACCTTCTGCCTGAATTATGAACTTCAGTGTGTCCACCAAGGCTCTCTCTTCCCTCTGGAGTTCATAGGTTGCACTGGCAGAATATTGTTCCACCTCTCCTGTAGGCTTCAGTTCCAGCTCATATCTAAAGAAATTACAGTGAATGATGGCAATAATATCCCCCAACAATTCAGTATCAAGTGCAATAAAAGTAAGGTCCTTATTTTAACCTTATCTCTTGCCTGTAACTAATAATGATCTTTATGATCCCTTCAGTTCCTCCCAGAGCCTAAGACAAGGACAAATCCTAGGATTCCCAGGCTTTTGTACAAGTACAGGAACAGCTGGCTGGCCCTGTCAGCAAAAGCTGACAACAGAATGGGTGAGGGGATGAAGACAGGGGACCCTGAGCACTGTGGAGGCTTTGGGCATGCTGGTGAGCTCTAGGAAGCTCCTACCCATGGGTCTGGAGGCTCAGAAACTCTGACGATGAGGTAGGAGCAAATTGGAATGTGCTCTGATCTTCTCATCCAGCACATGAAGGGAAAAGAAGTGCTGGCCACACGACCACTATTTTAAATACCCAAAGGATGGTATAAGCCCCTAAGATTGACATAAGGCTACATCATATGGCCTTTTTCTGTTTGCCCTGCCAGGTGGCCACAATGTGGATGGCAAGCAGATTCAGGCTGTGCACTGAGCATCTCTCACCTGGTGTCACCTGTCAGTGGGTAGTAGGAGGCAGACTCGGTGGAGCTGGCGTTGGAGTAAGCTCCTGTGGTGCAGTAGCTGAGTCCAGTGACAAAAGGCCTGCAAGTTGACCAGGACTGCCTGTTCTCAATGAGAGGAGGGATCACTTCTGTTTTGGTGGTGGAGACCAAATGCAATGTGTTGCTGGTGAAGGATGAAAAATCAAAGTTATCTTTAAGCCAGGAATTCAAATGAACAGGGAGATCAGTAGAGTAGAAGTGGGAAATCAAAGGGGAGGAGGAGGGAAGGGAAAGGGGAAGAACTGGGAAATTAAATTGACCAAATTATACTAGGTGCATGTATGACTATACCACAATGCATTCCAATTTTATATATAACTATAATTCATTAATTACAAAATGAATTTAAAAATTAAAAAAGACTAATAAAGTAGAGGAAAGGGATCAGGGGAAGGATGGGAGAGAGGTTAGTGCTGGGAATTGAAATGGAGAAAACTATGTTATATATATTTATGAATATATCAAAAGGAACCCTATCATTATATATAACTATCATGCACTAAAATTTTTTAAAAGATTTTAAAAAATGAACATCATTCTTTTAAAAAATAAACATAGTTCTTACTATACACATGCTCCCTTTCCTCCTATCCACCTCTGTCCATACCCATCTTATTTGATTTACTGAGAAACAAATGGTGACTCTTAGGCTTCAGACATTGCACTAATTTCTTTTTGTGCATTACCTCTGATCCCCACAAAAGCAGGAATAGGATTCTCATTTTACAGAAGAAACAACGGTTCAGAGACACTAACTAACTCGTCACTGGGACTGAACTTAGGGTGCTCCATCCTTCATATATGATACAGGGCAAGAGGAACCCTGTCGGTCTTTCATGTGAAATCTCTCATGCTCTGCTGGCTTCTTTTTTACCCCCATTAAACATGCATAAGTCTCTTCTCCCATTCTCACACTACACACACACACACACACACACACACACACCCCTCTTTCTTTCCCTGTCACCTTCTCTCATAACCCTATCAACAGGGTGTTGGCCTTTGTGGGGTTCTTCCAACACACTTCTTGCTGAACTGTGCTCTGAATGTTACCCTTGTCACGTTTCTGAAAATGCTTTCATCAATATCTCCAGATCCCTTCATGCTCCTAAATCCAATGAATCTAGTGAGGCTTTATCATCTCTGACCTCTCAGGAGCATTCAGTAGACTTGTTTACTTATGGCTACATCAAGATGCCAGAGTCTTTATCCTCTGAAAAGATCATGGTACCCTCCTCTTATATATGTACTTTAAATTAGTGAAAATACAAGGAAGTTAAAAAATGTCCCCGTATCTTTGAAGGATGCTTTCTTTTAAATACTCCATCCTTTCCCCAGTATTTTTTTTCTCATTGTTGGTGGTTCCCCAAGACCAACCTTTGCTGATGGGCTGGAGTCCTACATGCCAGCTGTGACCTGCCTATGGCCTGTTCTAGCCTTTAGCGTCTTCTTGGCTTCTAGACCCTTATGGCCTTGGTTCTCCGTCTACCTCTCTGGTTGCTCTCTATACCAGCTGCTATTTCCTCGCTCTGCTATATACTGGTGATGCCCAACTCCGCGACTGAGCTCAAACCTCTTTGCTAGGCTCAGGGTCATAAGTCCATCTGCCACCTAGATAGTTCTAGTTGGTTGTTTCATAGGATATAAATACAGCACATCCAAAACTGAATTTGTCATCTTTCTCTAACCGAACAGCTCTCCCTCTGTAGTTCCTATTTAAAATGAAGGTCACTCTGCTTCCCTTCTCTCTTCCCTTATACCCATATCCAGTCAAGAATCAAGTGCTCCTGATTCCTATCTCCATGCAATTTCTGATACCTCTCACTCCTCTCTGCAGACCATGGTCACCTCCAGTGCAGGCCATTGTCACCTCTCACACATATGTATTTTAAACAAACTCTTAAATGTCTTCCAGTCTTGCTACTTTCCCACATTTTCCACCCTGGAGTCAGAGTAGTTCATCTAAAACACCAGCCTTGCCTTAGATATACTCTCCTTTTCAACTCTTTTGCCTTCAGAAGAGTCTGGGTTCTTTATGGTGGCTGAAAAGGTGGTCCATGGTTGCCCCAGACCCCTTTCTCCCCACCACCGCCAATTATGCTCTCGGTGCACTTTGGCATACTCAATTTCTTTCAGTTCCATGAACCATTTTCTTTTTTATTAGGCTGCTATACATACTTTTCTCTGCCTAGAACACTCATTTCTTTTTACTTTGCTTGGGTCGGTCTCAGTCCTTCGCAGCAGATCAAGTGTACCTGTGTCAGAAAGCCTGCTCTGACTCCCTCAAGTTTCACAGTATTGTAATATTGCCTCTAATCTAGCTCTCACTCCATTGCAGCAGTTTTCTCCACTGTACGTCTCCCTATAAAGTTAAGCTATAGAAGCCCAGAGACCTAAATTCTATGTCTGAATGAGAAAATTAATGTGTTCAAAATATCAAAAACTAAGGTCAATCAGTGGTGGAGGATATCATTGAAAATGGAACTCTCAACAGAGGCTGAATCCTATAATCTATCATGGATTTTCATGCTTTATCCACTGAGCTAGCTACCACAAATAAATATGGCCTTTGGTATTTTTCCTAGAGAAAAATGTTCATTTTTTTTTCAAGGGAGATTTCTGTAGAGCTAGTGCTACTTCATTCTCTAAGCAATCAACAATAACAACAAAATCCTCCACAGCAGAGTTATGACCAACTAAACATAGATATTAAGTCTCAATGAAGGATGATATAGGACAATTTAGTAAAATGTAGAAAGGCAATTATTTTGTGTGTTTGCATCTAGGCTAGGTTAAAAATAGGTAATAAGAATCTTCCTTCCCTCTTCTGCTTCTCTGGAACTAGAATTTTCCCTGTTGGTTATCTAGCCTGACTAAATCCTACAGATATGTTTTCAACTCTTTGAAACTGGCCAGGCACACCTGGCTGAAAGAATTACCTGCCACTAAATAACTTGACTGGCCTCCTTGGAGAAGGAATGATGAACTTCAGTTGTCCAGTCTTCAGGGTCACACGAGCCTCCAGGCCTGACTCATGGAAGAAGTTGGTGTTCATTTGGACACCACTCCTGGCAAAGCCAGGAAGAATGATGCCCATATTTGTTGCAAACTCCACAGTCATAGAGGGCTTTACCAACAGGTCAGCCTGCATCTGCAAGTCAGAAAACAACCTATTCAGTATTGTTAAATTCCTCAGTCCCCTGGTTGTCAGATCAACCCCACCTTTCCCATCTCTGGGCAAATATCTCTGGATAACTTGCATCTCAGGAAATAGTATTGTGATTTATTTAGAGGAAGAAAGCCCAGTGCCCAGTTCTCCAGAGCCAGACTTCACTATGAAGGGCTAGGAAGCAACTTAGACAGAAAGATGATCAGAACACTCATTTATGAAGCAAACAACTGAGTTTTCATCTTATTGCCATAATTCAACTGGCGATGGTAAGGTAGTGCATGCTGGTGGAACCCTAAAGATTTTCATAAAAATTAATGAGGTGATTACTAGGATGATGTACATTGTTGTGAACTAGAAACATGTTTTTAAAATGTGAAACATTTAAAATGTCCTCCCCCCCATAAGAGGAAAAGAACAACACCCACTTATTTGCAATCAATGTAAACAGGGTCTTACATTGGCTAGTTCCAGTTTTACTCCAGCCTTAGTCCCAGGGGTGATGACTCCAGATAAGGACACTTGCAACTGTGACCCCACTCCAGTGGGAAGCTCAAAGGCATTGTCCATAAAGATGTAGTGAAGAAACAAATCACTCTTTGAGCCTTCCCTTATGGCCTGTCCAATCTGCAAATTGAACAGGGGAGAGTAAATTAAGCCTTCTATGAGTGAGTTTTGTCAAATGCAACCTCCCAAATATAAAGGAATAATTTCTCTTTATCCAGAAAAAAGAATTAGCATATTTAGCTGGATAATTTCATAAATAAAGGTTAATGTTACTCACATCAATGCATTTGGATATATGCAATTGCTCTGAATTAAATATCATGTTCAACTGATGGTTCAGAAAGTACCTAGGAATAGTACAGGGCCTCAGAGCCTTATAAGCTCCAAGTAAAATCTATGGCTTGGCTTAATTCTGTTTTCTTTTTAAAAATCTGAATGTAAATGAGAGTTTACTTGAAGTGTATTATATTTTGGTAAAATTAATTTTAAATAAAAAAGCTCCTGAAATGATGTACATATTAACATACATGGTTTTTTTGTTTTGTAACATTTCCATAAAATAACTTCAGTGTTTTTTTAAAACCAACATGAATATTTATTTAATCATGGGGATATATTTTCTCTTTTATTAGTAAATTAATTATAATAAAAATTGTGGCAAATATTTAGATAGTGTGTTACAGTTGGCCAAACATTTCTTAAATAATCATTGTGTCCTTTTAATATTAAAAGTAGTCTTTCTTGCAGGTGGAGGAAGATATTCTTAACAGCATTTTCTAGAAGATCAAACTAATGCTCTTAAAAGTACAGCTAACATTATGAATAGCTTCATTTCTGAATGCGCCAATTCCTTGTGAGTTAAAGATCTTCTTCATTGAAATTCAGAGCAAACTTGTATCTTTGAAGGAAATATAGGCACTTTCTCTGCTCTGTGTGGCAAGGATCTTAAGGGAGTCTGGGAGATCTAGGAAGAGCACCTGCTAATCTGTGGGCCCTCCGAGGGGCCTGGTCACTTACCAGGTGTTGGATTCCCTGCAGCGTTTGAACACCACTCAGCAGCAGCCTTCCCAGGAGCTGGAGGTCTTGGAGCCTGACAAAGCCAAGCTCTTCTCCCAAGATGCGGAGGTAGGCTCTGGCTTCTGGGATTTCTTTGGATTTCAAATCATTGATCAGCTTTTCAACGATGGGCATAATTCCATTTACCATGTCCTGGGATTTTAGTAACACAATGTTTAGTGAGAGGTCAGCTTTGTCTGAGGGGGATCTGTCTCCTGCTGACATGACTGGCCTAAACACAAACTCTGGAGCTGGGGCTTTAGGGAATCAGGCTCCTTTTACTGAAAGAAATTCATCTAAACAAAGATCAAAACACCTGAGATCTTTTCAGGACTAGTAGTACTTTCAAAGCTGTCCTTAACTTGAAAAAAAACAAAAACAAACATGCAGGAATAGTAAGGGGAATCCCTGGTCTCCAGGATTCCAAGATCCACAGAGCTCCTCAGGATTAAAAGACCTCTGTCCCACTTCCCTACTCAGCCCTCTCTGCTTCAACTAAGGAAGAGTACCGGGGTTTTCTAAGAAAGTATAGTTTTCTTATAAGTAAGTCAAAAGCTTGTAGACCTGTTCTTCTTAGAGACAGGAAGAATTCTATAGACCAATGCACAGATATTATGTAGGAAAAGAAATTGCTAGACCCCAAACATATCTAAGGATATCGGCTTCAAGTGGAGGTTGGCAAATCAGAAGATGGAAATGAGACTATCAGGGAGCATCTGGGAGCAAATTATTGCCCTGTTCTCAACCTTGAATGTACACACAAGTCCCCTGGGGTCTTATTAAAATGCAGATTCTGATTCAGTAGGTCTTTGTGGGCTTGAGGTCCTGCATTTATAACAAGCTATCATGTAGTGTCAATCATCAGACCACATTTTAGATAGCAAAAAATTAAAGACTAAGAAGCTGCAGATATACAAGCTAGTTTCTACTCCTTCACTGGGGACTCATTGCCAGCCTCAGAATGGATTCTGGTCCCATTAACTAGTGCACTGATATGAGTGATAGTCAAAGGAAGCAGCTAATAATAAAGAAATATTTAAAAAATAACAATTTAAAACTTATAATAGTAGCTTCTTATTGAGTATCCGAGACTGGTGTCAGGCACTGTGCTTAGCATTTTATGTACCTTATTTAATGTAGTCTTTAAATAACTTTGTGAAGTGTGGATTACTATTAGTACCCTGAGGGTGCAGGAACAGACATATATAGTATTAACTAACTTGCCTGGAATAACACAATTTAAAGACTGAGGTTAGAATCAAACCGAGGTCCCATACTTTATACTCTTAATCATTTTGCTAGAGTGCCCCTAGTGAGTCTGGTTCCTGGACACAATGCATTTCCATAAGGCCCTTAACTGCTGAGGATCCTGGACCCTAGCCCTGTAGGACTGGTTAATACACATCCACAGTTGTTATTTCAGTTAGATAGGACCTTGATGACTTCTGTGCTTAGAAAAGAATGTTTTTGCACTGAGACCCAAATCTTTCCTTGAGAGAATACATATCCAATACATACCTGCTCATGTTTATCCTCTTTGATATAGTCAAAGTGGTCCACCAAGACTTTGGACACACGATCAGGCACTCGACCATTGACCCAATATAAAGCCTTGTTGACACTATCTGGAAAAAATCCTTTCTTCCCAAAAAGAGCTTCCAGTGTTGGCTCAAAGCCTTTTCCTTCTAAGCCAATCTGAGAAAGAAAATCAAGCAAGAATATGCCACTGGGTGTTCTGGCTATACATCAGTCTCCCATTCCCCCTTTTATGTCTACTTAATTAAAAACGTATTTGATGAACACTGCAGGGAAGGAGCTGGGCTTAGCATTTCACAGAAGTTCTCTATTTAAATTTCACTAGACTCTTGAAGGGTAGAACTCATTTGCCTTTTTCTAGAAAAGACAGGGATGAGAGGATAAATAATTAAACTGATGATTCAGAACTTGGAGAGGATTTAGGGTTTGAACCAGAAATGATTGGTTAGCTCAAGTATTTCGTTGGACTTTGAGTTGAAGGGCTTCTCTGAGACATCTACATTTCCATTAATATAAGGAATAATGTTTCAGATGACCCCTAGTGGACAGAGAGGAAGGCGAGGAAGGAAGGAAAGAAAAGCCTCAAAATGAAGGTACCAATCCCTTGATGATTCCTGCTCCTCCCCAGGCTGGTTCACAGCTCCCCTGACTTTGTATTTGTGGTGTACAGACCAGGCAAGAGAACTTGAGACTCTTCTTTAGTCTCACACATACCTCGACGAGGTCAGTTGGAGCAAATCCAAAGACAGTGAGGGTTGTTTTCAGCATGCTTTCTTTAGGAAGGTAATTATTCGGATCAAAGATAAGATTCCCCTCAATTTTGGCTGAGACTGGGTCAAGCGATGGGAGAGAAACAGATTTAGAAAGGTGATAGTTCCGAGAAAATTTTCTGAAGTCCATGACAGTTGGAAGTTGAGATTCTTTCAGGGCTTCTTTCACTAAATTTTTCAGGCTAGATGAAAAGAAGAGATATACTTTGAGCCAACATACCATGTGACTTATTCATCATCTCATGCATCCTGAGCAAATATGGATTTCCAATTGCTACTAAAATATATGGGTTTCATTTGCCCCAAGACTTTGGCTCAGGGTCTGCTGCACACTCACATGCGTTCCAGAAGAAAGCACACTCCATAAAGGACAGACAGGGCCTGGGCCCGAATGGAGACTTGGAATTCCAACCCAGGGCCCTCTGTAGCAGATTGGTGCAAGGGATGACTTACTCTTGGATATCCAATTCTTCTGAGTTCAAGATGTTGGCAATGTGGGATGCCACAAAGTTCTTCACTTGCTCATTCTGTTCCCGTGGGAGAATTCGGGCAATTTTGTTAATATCTGCCTGGGAAGGCCCCCTCATCAGCATGAGATAGGCAGCCAGTCGCTTATCCACTGGAGCAGCACCATCCACAAAAGTCTGGAGAAGGATCCCCCTGACCTGTAGCCAAAAGAGGCAACTGTTTATCAGGACACAGAGCATGCCTGGCTAATACTGGCATGGTCTGCTAGCTCTTTCTTAACACAAGTCTAATCTCTCTCTAATAACTCTTCAAATAATGCTGAATCTTCTTGCTAGTGTTCCTTAAAGCAACCAGCTCAAGGCTGGGTTCTCAGAAGACTCCTATCAAATATGTGCTCAAATCAATTGCATTAGAATACATAAATTTTGACCAAGTGATTATTTGTTTTGCGATCTGCTACTAAGTGAAGACAAAATTGTTTTGTCATAAATTATTTCAATGTAAGAATGAAGGTGGGAAGGCACAGTGAGATTTTGGAGCTAAAAAATAAGGCGATTTCAAAAGCTGTGGAGTTTCTGCCACCTAAGGTAGGAGGACCAGGTTCACTATCTCAGTTTGGTGCCACTGGAGAAATCAGGTATGTTTTCTCAAAATAAAAGTGATGGTCAATCTGGTAGTAGGACATGATATAGCAAAAATCTCATGTTCTTTGTGAGAGAGGAGTAGCAGCAAGTTGACTATGTTTCTCATCCCATATACCACTAGGCAGTCAATAGGCTCATTGAAGTTTTGCAATGAGAAAACAGTAAAAGAAAGTCAGCACAAGAACAGGATTTAGAACCTCATTCCCCTTGTACTTCCCCAGACCTTGTTGATCAGCATGGACTTTCACTTTCAAACACCCATGTGCACTTTACCTCCTCTCTGAGTTCCATCTTCCTCAGGGCCTGGATAGCAGCTTTCTGAATCAGCAGCGATGGCTTTGCACTTCTGATACATTTCAGGACTGAAGATTTGAGTCTCGGCATTACCTGTTCCATAGTTCTGCCCATGTTTCCAATGACCTGCATTGAGGAAACGAAATAAGAACTCATCACAGCACAGAAGGAGGAGTAAAGGTTGTTCAAGAAGGGCATTGCTGAAATGATGCATCTTATACAAAAGACTAAAAGTACCCTCAGGATCAAATAGGTGTGATCTTCATCCCCAGTACACTCATTGCGAATCTGTTCCAACAGGTAATCAGCAATGTCCTGAAGGTCCTGGGTCATTTCCTGGGTCATCTGATGATAGCTACAGAATAAGAGAAGAGTGTTAACATTCTCTTAATTTGGAAGGCATAGATGAGCTTTCTTAAAATCCAAACTTGTGTTTGTTGATTTCTTATTCCAAGTTGTTCTTCTCAAAATGTCCAGTAGAAAAGAGTGAGCACTAGGGTTAGAAGGTAGAAGGAGGGGTGCCATGTCAGTACAGAGAGGCGGGATTTTCCTCTGCTCCCAGGTGCAGAAGAAATTCAGTGCAGAGACTCACTTGTTGACCACATGGCTCAGTGCATAGAGGGTGGCCCGGCTTTGCTGCTCCCTGGCCGTGTTGAAGATCTCTCGCAGCCTCTGTGTGGAAGGCTCTGGGATCAGGGCCACCAGGTAGGTCACAACATCTATCAGGAGGGGGTGAGCTTTCTCACTTTTCAGCCACTGGAGGATGTGAGTGTAACACTGGGGTTGTCCACACTGAACCAAGGCTTGCAAAGTGATGGGGCTGAGAAGAAAAGAGAGAGTTACACAGAGCAGCATCAAGGTGGTGAACCCTCTTTGGTCTGTGGTGTGACCACTTCCAGGAGTGCCCTATGTCTCTTATTCACTGTCTAAATTCAAAATCCAACTCTGAGCCCAAGAACCATGATCCTTCCCTAAGAAGTGTCTTTCCACTGGAGAAACACTGTGAGAGAAATCTGAAGAACAACCTCTAGGCCTCAAGCTGAAAGGGGCATGTTATCACTGCCCTTTGGTCAGGACATAGAACATGCCTGGCCAGCACTGGCCTAGTCCATTCTGGCCTCAGCAACTTTTATGACATTCAGAGCACCTGGATTCCGTCCCTTGAAGTACAGAGAACACACATTATTTTGTTTGCCTGAGCTCTCTCCCTTCTAGCTTGTAAGTTCCAGAGGGCACAAACTTCTTATCTCACACTCTTCAAGGAACCCTCTAGAAGCACGGACGAGAAGATACTCATCAAATGAGAGGTGCTACCTCCCTCTGGTTTTAACACACAAATGCGTATCTTCCTCGAATGCCCTGTGTGTGTGTCTTGCCCTTGAAACTCTAAGCATCTTAGCTGATATTTCTCTGCCCAGAAGACATTAACTGTTTGACTGATTAACTAGATTGATATTAAATGGTTCCTGAGGTTCTCTGACCAAAGTTCAAAAGTTCTGACAGCTTCCATAGGTTGTCTGAGACTGAGCTGCAACCACTGAAGACCTACCTGGACACCTCGATCAGCTGTGGCAAGAGGGATTTGACTGCCTCTTCATTGAGGCCTCTCAACTCAGTAACCAGTTTTTTGAAGAGATTTGCTCTCTGGGCATTCTGCTCAGAGATGGATAGCTTTTTCAGTTCCTGGAGTGTTGTCAAGACAGCCTCGGCCTGCTTTGGTGGCAATGTGGATTTGGTGCTCTCGAAGGCCAGACCCACCTTCTCAGTACCTAGAAAGTGCCAAAGGAATTCTTGGTTATTTCTACATCTCAACCATGTCTTCAGCTAATAGAAACTAGGGAGGTACTAGCAGGTAGAAAAGAGAAGAAAACAACTGTCTTCTTAATGCCTAGTAGCTATGTGGCTCTGGGCTAGGTGTTGTTAATTGACTCACCACAGCATCCCTGGGGGTTGGTATTATTCCCCAATTTAAGAAAAAGGAGCTAAGATCCAGAGGTGAGCAATTTACTTTGAGAGTCCTTACACAAGAGCTCTCTGAACTAAGAGGCAGAGCTAGAATTTAATCCAGGTTGTCTGGCTTTGGTATCAAATTACCTCTGCCTGAAAGAATGGTGAGGAGATGGGGCAACTGATCCAGTGACAGCTGAGGCTGGACTAGTGGTTTCACCACCAGTCTTTCTAATTGAACCTTCTAGCAGTTTCTGATGAGGAGAGACCCTTCTGCAGTCTTCCCATCTTTCTGCCCTCACTTGTATACGGAGAGGAGTGAAGGTGGGCATGGAATTGTGAAATAATGGGCAGAGTCCTGGTTTTAATTAGACCTGGATGCTCATTTTACACACCTTTGAGGTTCTGGGACCTTGACTACATCACTAAGCCTCCCTGTTTGTCCATTTTCCCTCCACAGAATGGGTATAAACTCATCTGCCATTACCACCTAATATCATAGGCAAATAAATGAGGTGAGGCACAAGCAAGAATTTTGACAGATTTATGTAGAATATAATGCTGGGCTAGGGTTAGAGTAGAGGTCTCTGAAGTTCTGTTCCTTGGATTACTCTCTGGTCTGGCCCTAAATATCTTTTCCCGCTTTTTCCATCTGGTCCAGGACAGGCACAAGTCTAGTCACAGAGTCTATGAGACTGTCAACTCCTCCAAAGGTGTCACGGTTGACTTAGGAAACCTAAGCAGCTTTGGCAACTTCTCTTTATCCCACTACCCCTTGATGTTCTGAAATGAATCTACCTACTCAGTAGCCAAATTCCAGTGTCTGCTTCACTTTTTAACACAGCAGACATTTAACAGGGCCCAACCATGAGCTAAGCTGTGATTGGCACCTGTTGGACAGACTCCCCTGCACCAATGAGGACATAAAGTCTTACCTGCATTAAAGAAGCGGCTGTTGGTTTTAGGTGTATCTTCAAGTTTCAAAGTCTGTGTAATGTGTGTCATCATCCCGTATTTATTCCTGGTAACAGAGGAAGCACCCTGCCTCATGAAGGGCCACCAACCCAGAACACACTAGTCTTTTCATGTCAAAGTTCCTATCTCTACTACTGCCCTATTTTGCCCACCTTTCAGAGCATGGTTAAATCTAGCTATCTTTCACTCCCTAATGAACAGCACCCATGTCCCCCTGGTCACATTCAAGGTCAAATGTATCTTATATCCTATATCAGCCTGGAGTTCCCAGAGGGCAAGGACTAACACTGAGCCTCAAAATTCTTCATATCTCCCACAGCACAGTGCCAAGAATACAGTAATTACCTAATAAACATTAGTTAATTCAAAACTGATTGGATACACAAGTCTCCTGTCAAAAATCCCAAATCCTCCATGAAACTATTCCTAACCAGGGCATCCTGCAATGGTTACCTAATTTTCTGGGTCCATGGCCCTTAAAGTCTGAGATGTATTTTGTTGGTTTCAAAATTGTTTCACATGCCTAAGAATTTTCTGTCAAATTGCCTGTTTGCTTAAAAAGGAGGTCAGGTATGGGCTCTGCATTGTACCTCTTCATAACTCCCACCCAGGCACAGCCTAGCTTGGACAAGGGCACAGGAGAGTTCAGCTCACATAAACCCCTTGATGATGAGTTGGGGGAGCAGCAGGAGACCTACTTGTAGGAGAAAGGCAAGAGCAGGTGTTGCTCCTTGCAGATGGCTTCCGACACATGCTTCCTCTTGGAGTCCAGGGTGTATTGGCAGGACTGGCTGCTGCTGAGCAGGGTTGACAGGGGGCGGACCTGTGCATGAGGTTGGAGAGTGAGCATTTTGAACAGTTTCTGGGGTTTGGACCTCAGTCTTCTGTCACAGTCATTTTCCTCCAAGGTAGGAGAATGGGAGTCCTGCACCACTAGACAAGCTCAGTAAAAGTCAGCATGCTCAAGGCTGTGGACTCTTCTTATTTCACCTCAGCAGAGCTCTCAACCTGCACATGTATATGCCTTATGTCCCACATACCCATCTGCCCCCACATAACGCCACACATGCTACTACCTATTAGGTTTTCTTTGCCTAGAAGCCTATCCTTGGCTCTCTCCCATCTGCTCATCCGTTGTATTTTTCAGGCTTGTGCTCCACATCCTCCATAACTTTGCCTAATGAGCTACGTGCAAATGCTGCATCCTTCCTACTCAGGCTTAGAAATGCTTGTCTACACTGCTCAGTTGACTACTTTATCAGGTGTGCTGTGCATTGTATTTTATGTGCATGCATGTGAACCTTGCTTCTGCATTAGCCTGGAAGCATCTCCAGGGTAAGGTTCATGGTTCACCCACTACTCTCCCTCCCTCAGTAGGAGTAAACATAGAGCAACCTCTCTGAAAAGACCCTAAACCAGTGCTTGAGCCTCCTCTGACTATGGCCCCCATGGTCACCAGACTCTTTGTGTTTAGTCCCCAGGACAAGGACCTTGAACATGGCCCAGCAGGGCAGTGATTGCTCATCTTTCATGTTTACTGAGATAACCTGTGCCTCATGTTCTGGATGATGTGACAAGAGGTTAGGCAAACTCAGGTCATGTGGTGCTATGTGACCTAGCTAGCAGCAGAGAAGGTCAATACTGAGTGGGTGGCCCAGGCAGGAGGCCTGTGGGCCTTGATTTGGTCAGGGTCACACGTAGTGTATAAGGACAGGTGGCTGGGATGAGGGAGAAAAGTGAACACAGGCCTTAGGACCTTAATAGAGGTCAGATGTTGGGACAACCAGCTCGCCCACAGAAAGCAACAGCAAAGGACTTTGCCTCCTCAGGGATGAATCATCATCACACTCAATTGATGGCAGAGGGTTCAGTGTCACAACAGGAGGACCACTGAAGGACAGAGCTCTGGCCTGATTCTAGTCCTGGCACAATTAATAAAAAGCAGTGCGGCCTTAGCAGTCCTTCTAGTGCCTGGTCCTTGGTGTCCTGCTCAGGAACAAGCCGGGCAGGATCTTCTCAGAGGTCCCTACCAGCTGGAACATTCTTGAGGGTTTGTAAGAAGGATGCTGCTCAGGGCAGACTGCAGGCTGGTATGAGGCTCACCAGGCCCTGGATGAGGGCGAGTGGGCTGACGCCCGTGCTGATGGGCTGGAAGCTGTCACACTGCTGCAGGTCCCTCTCAGTGGATATCTGTGTTGCCACATTGCCCTTCCTTGTCATGACGGTAACGTGAGTGGAGCAGTTTCCATACACGGTGTCCTGTGGGAGCAGAAGACACATTCAGGAGCATTCAACATGGGAAAAGCCTTTAGGTATTTGGGAAGGGCTGGGAAAGAAGCCTGAGAGCAAAGGCAAAATGAATGTAGATTTGGGAAGGACTTTTTTTTCCTGCCTGCACTGCTGGTGCCTGGCCAGCCAGGGCTGGGGGAGAAGAAAAGGTGAAGAGCAGCTTGGAGGAAAGGCCTGTGCAGGATGCATCTCTGTGTTCTCCAAGCACCGTGGAGCTGAGAACTCAGAGCACAGGAAGGACTGAAAAATGTTCAGAGGGCTGAAGAAAGTTGGATTCTCTTTATGCTGAAATCTGACATTTTTAGAAAGAGGCTGGCAATATATTCCAATCTTTTTGGAGTCTGCAATACACACAGACTTTACCATGTTGTAACATGTGGGAACTGGAGGGGGAAGAAGTCCAACATAGATAGAGAGATCAGGAGTCCCAGTAAGTGATTTAAAATTAGACCCAACATGATTGACCTGCTTGGGATGTCCATCAATGACCCCAAGGGACAGGAAGAACCACAGGTTCTGGTATTATACACCAAATAAAGGGTCTCCTATGTAACCCAAGCCAACAATCCATTTCAGGTACCATGTGACTGGTCTCTGACATGGGAAGTGAAGTTCAGAGGGTTTTCAGCTTTCTAAATTCTCACCGTGAACAACACTTGTTTGTCTTCTTCTGTCTCTGGGGGAACCAGGAGTGCAGAAATGATGCCCCTCTTGATGTTCAGGATGTGTTTGGGTTCACCCTTCTCTGGGTAAAGGAAGACTTGCCTCCCTTCAGGAACACCCAGCCTGAGCTCATACCTGTCCCAGAGAGAGCATGTGGTCACAGAAAGGTTCCCTCTCTACTTTGAGCCTGCTGGAAGGAAGCTTCTGCTTGGCAGGCTCCTTCTCAGTTGTTAACATCAGTTCTTTACAAATATATGCACACACACATACATATTTTCAAAAAAGTACACAAACAGGTAAAGTTTTGTCATTATTACTCTTAATTTTTTTTTTTTTTTTGCTGGGCTCATCTCTTCCCTGTCTGTTCTCCACCCACCAGTATGGACACCCGAGTGGGTATTTCATTCATATCTCCCTGTTCATACAATTCTACATAGATTGTGAGTACAAACACAGATACATAAAGATGTTGTAATTATTTGTTTTATGCAAATGGAATCGTATTATGCATACTTCCCTTCATGTTTTTCTCATTTAATTATATTCTAGGAAAACCCTGAGTCGCTTGGTAAGCTCTAAAAGATTCTTTTTTCAAAAGCTATATAAACATTCCATTCTGTTGTTATATATAGTTTATTCAACACATTGCCCCATTTGGTGGCATTTACTGGACTTTTTTTCCCTTTTTTTTGCCACACAAACAATACTGAAATACATATCCTTATGTGTTTATCTTCATCTTCATGCATTACTGCTTTTATTTTCATGGGCTTGGGTCCCAGAGATTGGAATTGCTGTGTCAAAGGGTATAAGTATTTTCAACTGGAATAGCTATCACCCTGTGGCTCTCATTCCCACAAGCCATGTGTGGGAATGACTTTTCCTCCCTGGCTCACCAGCAACAGGTGCCATTGCTGTTTTAAAGTTGTCCAGTCTGATGGGCGTGAGGTAATCCCTATCTTATTGTAACAGTAATTTGCATTTCCTGACTACTAATGAATTTGAGCATACATTTGTTTTTATATGTTCTCAGGTCATGTCTGGAATTCATGTTGACTTTGGTTTTAGAACCTTCTCATTGAGGATGATTTGGGTGCCTGAGGGCCTGGCTGAACCTGTTCTAGTTAAGTTAGAAGGACAAGGAGACCAGGATTTTCTCCTGTATTTCTGCACCTTTCAGAAAATTCCAGACATGGTGATGCAGGCCTAGAAAGCCCTCATGATCGAGAGTTAAGAGTCCCTTGTGTTTAGAGAAGAGTAAGGGACTAAAAAATAACTGCTATTCCTTCCTGCCACCAACCCCCTTCCCATCATGCACATCAGAATCTCAGGTAAAGTGAGGTATTTGGATGGAAGAAAGAAGAGTCCACGTAAGCCTCTTTCATAGAGAAAGGACTGGTTTCTGATGTTAGCAAATTGAAAGATGGGCAGGGGTAGAATTTTTTATGCTACAAACTGACTGCTTATACTGTAATTAGGGACAAAGCAGAGATAATGTTAAAAATATTTAATGGCTGTTACAACACAGGTGCTGGAGTGTCAGAAGAGATGCCAGTTGTAAACAAAGTCCTGGCCTTCTGGTATGCAGTGGCTGCATGCCACCCTGGGTAGAGGACCACTAAAGCCTTGTGCCCCTTTGCCTCCCACTGAAAAGACCCTGTGCCACTATATGTTGGCACTAAAGACCCTTTGCCACCATCTTGTTTAAATAAATTGCCTCAAAGAGTTTAAAAGCATGAGATCTTTTAGAAACACATTTAAATGATAATTAAGGCAACCTGACTAAGGGAGGGTAAGTAATGCTTTTTCCTCTTTTAGATAGTTCTGAAAATTCTGCAGTTTCCTGATCCATGGTGAACACTGATTATAATACACTTATACTCACAGGCACCTAACATGAACACACATGATCATGCCTCACAGGACACACATATGATTAAGCAGGCATTCACGTAACACAGCCAGGGATGCAAAGAGCTCAGAAATATAAATGCATGAGTCCACCCTTACTTGGACATGGCGGCTGCAAACTCCTCAGAGTTCTTGGTCTTCTTCAGCAAAGGCTTGCCCTCAGTGTTGAAGCCATATACCTCTTTCAAGGTACATTGGCTGGTCTTCAGGATGAAGTTGCAGAGTTGGGGAACCTCTAGCTCGACCTGAGAATGGAGGGTAGCAGCATACTGAGTTTCTCTATCAAGCACGAAGAGATTTCCCACAACCCAGAGCTTCATGTCTAACTAGGGCACCGGGGTAATGGTTCTCTCATGGGTCTCCATGCATCAACCTAGGCTCTGTCCTATTTTTGGTCTTTTCCTCTTTCAGGATAACAAGTTTCTTAAGTTTGCACCTATGCATGGGAAGGAGGATGTCTTTTTATTGGCTTTAAATTATTCACTTCAGTTACAAAGAACTTGGTGCACTTAGTTAGAAGACAGAAGACTAAAAGTAAGAATTTAGTAAGAAAAATAGGAAGTAGGAAGTGGCTATCATTGGTTTTCACAGCAAATATTTCCTTCATGTCACCCGAAAACTGTATCCTCTAGGGCCTATTGAGGGTCTCACATACAGCTGCGGTTGAAAGAGCATTAGCCAGCATTATTCAAAGAACTTTTTGTCATGACAGGTAGCTTTATATTTGCACTGTGTGATATGGTAGTATGAGCCACAACAGCTATTGGGCACTTGAAATGTGGCTAATAAGACTAAGAAGTGAATTTTTAATTTTATTTAATTTACATAGCCACGTGTGGCTAATGCTTACCTCATCTGACAGCACAGACAAGGACTACGGAGCCCTATGGAGAACAGGGAAGCTTCTCAACCTGCCTCCTCCTCCCCATACAAACCTTGACAGTAGCCCTCTGATCTGTTCCATATGGACAGGGACAGGACTATAGCCAGTCTCAAGAATAAGCAAGGTTTCATTTTAGAATGAACTACATGTTTACATGTTAAGTTTTTTTCCATTTCTTTCTAGCAACAGTTTGACTTTGATTGTAAATACCACCTTGCCCACCTCTCTTAGCTTACTTACCGGGCCTCCCTTGTGTTGAAATCTGTAGTCCTACATTTCTGGTAAATCTAGACCATGTGTTCAAATTGTAGCATGGAAATTAAAGGAAGAATGTTTTTTTCCGGGCAAAATTTTCTGTGGTGGACAGCTTCTCAGCAATGTGGCTGACTTACAAGCTGAGGGCCAGTTCTAGCACTTTGAGGTCACAACAGTTCTGGCATGTGCTGGGACCTCCTGGAAGGTCCAGTTCTGGGCACCTGTGGAGCAAGCCTGGGCTCCAGGTTCCTCCAGCGCCCATCCTCCATACCTTGCAGTTGATCTTTGTGATGCTTCTTGAATCAGCAGTCCCAGGGACACCACTGGAGCTCTCTGCCTCATAGTTATACATGTACTTCCGGAGGTGCTTGAATCGAGTTGCCTCTTCTAAAATGAGAAATAAGTTTGCATATCAGAAATAGCTCTCCCCAGGCAGTCAGTTCTGGGCAGAGAGGGGTGGTGGTATAGATAATTAAAAAAATTGTAATTGAGCTCAAATTATTTTTAATTTTCTTTACATTATGTTAATTAAGCATTGCTGAACCTGATATTTAAATTAGCTGGGTTTCCTTGAACATATCATCTGAGATACAGGGAAGAGAGTGCCAGGCATTAAATAATGGGGCTCCAAAATGTATAGAAGAGAACTTTGAAAAAGTTAAGATTTGACAGCACTAAGCAAAGGGATAGTACTTTTCTCAGCTTGAAAATACCAAAATTATGTGACTATTTTTTAAATTATTTCAAATACCTTAGGCAAATTTCTTTAGGCATTAGGGATATCTGGTTAACTTTAAGAAGAAGAAATTTCTGGAGGATTCCACTATGAGGAAATTTTATAAACTTGAGAAAGAACAGCATGAGCCCAATGTAGTGATTCCAGGTGTCCACCAGATGGCGGTGTGGCACCATCAGAGGTCAGCTCAGGCATTCTCTAGAGAACATAGAGTACTGCCCAAGGCCAGCTCCTCTGACCTCCAGGGGTCAGGTAAACACCAAGGGGTGGGGGGCTGGATTTTTGCACAAAGGTTAAAGTCAGTATTTCTTCATCCCCACACACTCTGAATCAATGATTAATAACTGATAAACAGGACAGTGATGTCTCTTTAAAGTGTTCATAAGGCTGTCAGAGTGGCAGTCCCTTCCCTTCCCCATCCCCAGGCCAAATTTTTGGGACAAAAGGACTGGTAGATGAGGGTGGAGACCCTTGGGGGTGGGCAGAGGCTCAAAGCACTTGTTTCCTAGGGTCTGAGCAGCAAACACCAATCTGAACATACAACACTATGTAGAGTGAGGTGGCCTTGGTGACCAGAGGTGTAAAAGGGCAGTTGGCCTGGTGTGGGGGGTGCCGATCCATGCCCAGTGAAGAAATGCCTTACTTGAACAGCTTGGGCTGACATTTTCCAACGCCTCGTCTTCTGTAAGAAAAGAAAAAAAGAGACTGGGTTTTTCCATGTCCTACTGAGGTCCTGGGGTCTGACAGGGAGGACCACTGTGTAGGTCTTGTTTTCCTGCAGGAAGCAGGTCTGGAGAGCTCAGGCCCCAGGCCCGCCACCTGCCCATCCTATCCGGAGTCTGGAGGAGCTGTCAGTTGGTCCTGGTCCCTGTCCCAGTGAGCCTGTGAGCCCTGTGTCTGCCCTCCCTCTGACCCAAGCCCAAGCTGCCCCAGCCACGGCCCCGCCATGGACTTCAACCTGCTCCGGTTTAGGTCATGGTCAGATGTTGCAGCCCGTACCCGGGGCTCCCCCTGCACCCCGTCCTACTCACGGGCCCAGGCGCCAGTGTCCAGGAGCAGCAGCAGCAGCAGCAGCGGCAGCAGCGCGGGCCTCGCCCGGCCCATGGCGGATGAGTGGGTGAGAAGGCTCCTTGGCTTCCTGGCTGTGGCCTGGCCACGGCCTGGCGCCGCTGCTGGCTCCAGGGGCTCTTCAGAGGCTGCCCTGAGACCTACACTGGCTCCGCGGGCAGTAGGGGAGGGTGGGACTGCACGCCCGCGCGCAAGCACCCTATTTATAGGAGGCCCTGGATTAAGAATTGCAAAAGGTCCAAAGGGCGCATCCCTGGCCTGTTTGCTTTTCCACATGGGCTTGTCTCTGAGCCTTGAGGAGAGGCCTGGGAGGGGGCTCATCTCAGACCCAGCGACAGTCGCCCTGGAGCTTTCCTCCTGCCTGGCCTGGCCTGCTGGGGCTTGGAGGTGGGCGGTGGGGGCAGTGGGCTTATTGCCTGAGGAGCCAGCCTGCGCTGGCTGCCTTGGGGAGCTGGCCGATCACAAGGACAAAATCCACTCCCCTCCCGCTGACTCTGGAGCCTTTAGCAAACCAGTTCTTAACTCCTGATTGAGATGTTTTCCTAGTCCTTTTCCATTTGGGTGGACTTTGGGTCCGCATGGAAGGCCCACTCCAGATCAGTACGTGTGGCTGAGGGGAGGAAACTAGGAAGGTCTGATGAGTGATGGGCACTGGCCCTGAGGGGTGGATACCTTCTCAGGCCCAGCTTGAGTCCAGGTGCCCTAGTCTTTCAGAAACCCAGTGAAGATGGTTCCAGGGGAGATAGCTCCCAAGAGTGACCCCTGGGCAGGGTCTTCTTGGGAAATTGAGGAGAGGAGGCCGCTCCCCATCTGCCCACTTTCCTCCTATAGTGAGAGGCCAATGAAGAGCCCCAGTGGGAAGGTGTGAACAGAGCACATTCCCTACCAATAGCCCAGAACCTTCTCAGGAATCCTTTCTTTCTCAGAATTCTAAGTGCTGGGTCATGGGACCCAGAGAAAACTTGCCCTCTCTTCCTCTTCCTGGCTATAGGAACTTGTGTTTGTATAGACATTTCGGCAGTCTTGATTTCACTAACCCAAGATCAATCATTAAGGTTTATGGACAGGATGGATGAATGTCTGAGCCTGGTTATGTCTTAATTCAAGGCATTCTTATCTGGTTGTGAAGCGAAGATGCATTGACAGGAAACTGTGGGTACTCCATCAAGGTAGGATGTAAAGAACACTGAACTGTGGTGGTTAAAATTGCTGGAGGGGCACTAACTAAGCAGTGAGACTAGGTGGTAACCCAGGAGGAAAGGAGTGGGAGTAATAGGGACTGTATCTTGGAAGCATTAGGGAAGTCAGTATTTATTGCTTCAAAGTGTCAGCTTTGTTTGACTTGTAAGCTATATCCAGATGTGTGCAACAAACTACTTGTAAAATTGTCTAAATGTTCTGATGGCATGTCTAAATGTTCTGATGGCATGCAGATGGTTCCAGAAAGGTCAATTCATGTATAAAAGCACCTGTTTCCTCAGAAGAGACATACCATGATGTTTGTCTTGTTTGCAACACCTGGGCCTCCACATCTCTTATAGGTATTGTCTGTAGTCACAAACTCCCTGGGTGTCCCTGAATTCTCTAGTGATCAGTTGCTTTGCATCATTGTTAAAGGTGGATATTACAGTGGTCTCAACCCAAGGTTGGCCAAATGTGTACCGCTGGTTTCATGCAATATGAAAGGCCTGGAAAAGTAATTGCCTAGAAACACCATTTCTCAGTATTTTATGTGCCTTATTTTATGTGGGTTGACTTTCCACAGGACTAGCCCTGTCAGTGTTTGAGGAAATGGTCCCGTTCCCATGCATATTCACTTCAAGGAGAATGGGCAAGAATATTTAGAAGCAGAGAAACCAAAAAGAGATGGTTAACATTAATTTATAAGCACAAGTTTGGGATTTCTCTGTTGGATGATAGATGCTAAGGTCAGCATCAATAGAAAACATAATTTTTACAATTTGATATTTACAAATGAATCTGATAACTTCAATGCAGGGAAACACTGTGAGATGTTTGAAGACCCCAGCATGAGCAGTCACCATCTCTGAAGGAGAAAACGTGAGATTCCAAAATGCTCGGTTCAGCTTCCCTTTCTTTCCCTGATGGCCTTTGGAAAATGTCTCCTGGGTTGGGTACTCATCCTTCAATAGGATTCAGCATACAGGAGCACAGAGCAAACGGCCAATTGCTGAGATAACTTGCGTACATCCACAGAAATACTGTAAGGATAAATATGTAAATATGTAAATTTTTTAAGCTTATAAAATATACTCATATCCTTTGTTAAAAGCTATTTGCAAATATATTACTGTGTGTAACCACAGATGCCCCCCTTCATCCCCTTTCCTTTAAGCAGAACTTTTCTCAGTTCTTTTTCCTAAACAAGTTCTGGGTATCAAAGGATAATGATCAGTTTTAGGAGAAACTTAAGATAGGATTAGGAATCAGGAAATCTTTGCGTATAAGGTACTTGTTTAACAGAGAAAATCCTGGTGCCAAGAAGTCAGCAGTTGTAAAGGAAGTCAGTGTGGTTGTTAGACTCAGGAAGAACTGATCTGAAATCCTAGCTGGATTTTTTTGTGAGGTTTGCAACTTCGGGCAAGTGACATCCCCTGAAGGACTCTGTATGTTTATAGGACTAATGCTATCTACCACCTAGGAATTTCAGTGCAAATCAGGTAAAACAATTATGTAAACATAAAACAGCTAGCAAGATGCCCAGGAAATAAGAGGTACTTAATGCAAAGTGACTGTCACTATGCCTTCTGTGTGTTACATGGGAATGTGTTTGCTGGCACTCTGTGAGCTGGCTAACCACAACCTGTATATAAACAGAGGTTAACAGAACACAGGGAGGAAGCCAGAGCCTATGAAAGGGAGCAGGAGTGGAAAAGGGCCAGAACAAGGGTGCTGTGTAGCTGTGACTGAGCATCCAATTCTGATGATTCCTCAGATTTGAAATCACTGTCCTTTCTGAGCAAATGGAGGCCTTACCAAAGCTATCAGACTAGTGACTGTCATTCTGCTGTCATGCAGATGAATCTCAGCTAGTTGCTATGACACTGTGACTTATCAGCTCATGAATGCAAAGTCCTGTTGGGTGAACCATCAATCTGAGTAATCACAGGGCTCTGGGTGCCCATTAGAAAGCCACCTGACTAGTGGAATTTCAAGGAATTAGATCACGCTCAATGTCCCAGTTACAGTCTCTAGAAGCAAAACTATCCATTCTGCCTATCTGCAGGTGACATGAAGGGTCCTGGCTAAGTTCAGGGAACCATAGAAGCTATTAAAGATCCCCAGCAGCCCAATATTCTGAGTTTAGTGTAGTTCACATATTGAAGTAGGTACTCAGTACATAATTTGCTGAATATAATGAATGAATCTTCCATTTAGTTATTCCCCATTGCTTCAAAGATATTTATGTACAGTGACCATGATGCTAAATAAATGCTTTCAGTGACATAAAACAAGAAAATAAAAATTATTCCTAGCCATGGTCTTCAAAAAATTCATCTGGCAAATAGGGACCAGTATTGACAATGATTAATTAGCCTATCTCTTTTCTGCCTATGACAGCATTATAATTGCAAACAATACCCAGAAGCTGGAAAGTAAATTTCAAGAATTTGTAGATGAAATCATACTCAGTGTGGTCTGAACATGCCATTGAGAAGGCATGTTGGCATGTGTACACACACATACATAGACACACACACAAGAGAAATGTTAAGGAAAAAATGATGTACTTAGGTGAAAAATGCTAAGTGGGCCCGTGTCAGTCAAATGCAGACATTGCACATGCATTAACCTCCCATGAAAGCAAAAAGAAACAGTCCTATTCCCTCATTCTGCTATCTAAGAGATAAGGTCAGAATGTTGAGCAGTTCTTACTGGGGAGAGGAGTCAGAGGTCAAGAGGATTCAGTGTGGAGCAAGGTCCTACACATATGAATTGTCACTCCCTTCACTATGCAGATCTTTCATTCCACCTTCCCATGGCCAGCTCCAGCTGACTCACCTCCTGCAAGGAATCTTTCTTTGGAACCAGCCCAGTAAGATATTCTGACCCTGATCTCCTTGTCAGTCAATTTCTATATAAGACAATGGATCATGAGGGCTCTTTATACATGACTCGTTACTCTGAACTTATATTTTTCTCTTGTGACATTTAAAAACTTTCACCTACTTACATTGTCAACTGGAGAGCTGATCTTCAGGATAAGCACCATGTGTAGTTGATACCTTGTGTCTTGCTTCTCTCTCCTTCCCTGACCTCTTGCACCAGGTGAGGCAGAGCACAGCTAAAGAGTGAAGGCTGAAACATCACATGGTCCTTGCGAGATAGGTCTCCTTCCTATATACCTTTCTGTTTACTCTTGGGTGCTGCTGCCTATGTTTATACCCAGAATGCATGATTGAGGCAGGACCTGTGAGTAAGGGTCATGGGACAGCCTTTGAGATGCTGTCAGTCCCTCACCTGTGTGACAGGGAAGGACTAGATGACCTGGGAGGCCTGTGTGATTCTATAGAAATTTTGTGACTTAAGAAAGAAAGGTACAAGTTACACTGGCCAGAACCTCAGGGTGGTTGGGAGCTGTGGCTGAGGATTCAGGATAATTGAGGAGCATGGATTTGGATTTTCTGGAAGGCTGCCTACTTTACACAGACTTACACTCATGTGTCCAGGAGGTAAATTTTAAACAGATTTCCAAGTGAGGAGAAGGCATGCTCTCCTGGATGTACTGGGGAACATCGACTCATAACTCTGAGGAAGTTCTTCCTCAAGTCTTGCTTTAGGGTTCATCCTGGCCTTGACCTTGGAAAACCTCTCTCTTGGATATAACTTGGTGTTGCCAGTTGCTCTTTACTAAGTTTTTATAAGTTTTCTTTATGTCCTCACAAGACTAAGACCCAGAACATAATACCCTCAGAAGGCTGAGACCAGTGCTGAGGGTAGAATGCTGGGTGGATAAACAAGCTTCCCACTCCTACATGACTGCTGATTCTCTTCAAGTGTCATGGAGGCCCTGG